AGACTTTGTATATTTTTATTACTCTTAAAACTACGTTTAAGAAAAGTTTTCTTTCCAAATTTTCGAATATTTTCTAACTAATGACTTTGATTCTGATTTTTCACTTTATGAATCTTTAATATTTTTTAATACTTTTTATAAAAAGATTTGCTATTTTTAAGTCCCTTATAGATGTTTCTTAAATATTTATTTTGATTTTCTTTCATATTCCTAATAAGTTATATTAATAAATATTGATTATTTTTTTTTAGATTCTTTTTTCATAATAATCGGATTTTCATCTATTAAATCATTATGATATCTATTTATCTTTATTAAATCATCCTTATTTGATTAAATATCTTTTGCTGAACGAAATGAAGATTAATAATAATTTTTCTCTTAATCTAAAATAGGATTGATTATATTAGTTTTAGGTATTTCTTTAGGAGATATTTAATATAGAGACACTACCCTATTAGATTTGGGTTATGTATTAATTTTAAATTCTGATGATAGTAAACTAATTGATTACTGTCTATCTGTATTAAATGGTTATGCTTATTCATCCAAATTTTATGATTATTATCCTTTTAAATTTGTTGGAGTTGTTGAATAACTTCTATAATGAGATGTAGTATATGCTCTTGAAGAAGTTGGAGTTGGCTTTTTGTCATTATTGATTTTATCTATACCTTTTGTGTTTAATATATTTATTGCTCTATCACTAGTACTTTAGATTATTCTTCTAGCTATATAGAATGTGGATTTAGTTTAAGATTTAGTTTAAACTACATCTTATTTAGGGAATTTTAATTTGAAATGATGCTTAATCATATAAATAATTTTAATAATTACAAAATTCAACAACTCATAATAGTTCTTAAGTATAATTAAGATATTGTTAAGAAATGTACTTCTATTTTAAAGGTACTTTAATTTGATTTAGTGATTTTACTTTAAATTTACCACCATCTATATTTAAGGTTGTAGATTTAGTTAAATTATTAACTATTCCTAAAGTCTTCATTGTTAAGAAATTTTAGTAAAATTTTAATTCTTCTTTTAGATCTTATTATTGATCTTCTCCTTTTAATGGTTTCATATAAATTTATTTTGTTTTTGCAATAAAATTGGCAAAATGTTTCAATAATTTTACTGTTTTCCAGTGTCCATATAGTCTAATAAATCTATTTGAAATCTAGAAAGAATATTTAATATTGATACTTCTTTATATTTTTCAGAATTCTTTTTATGATGTAAAAATTATAACCATGATTCAAATAGAGCTTATGCTTTAAAAAAAAGAATGCTAACTAAACTAGATTATGGAATAAAATTCTAATTATAAGGTATTTATTAAAGTTCTAATATTCTATTTATAAAGATTATTTATACTTTTCTTCTTCAGTCATTTCTTTCTTTTTATTATCCTTCTTTTTATCTTAAAAGTATGCTGGCTTTTATTTATCAAAAAATCTTCTACTTGTTATCTTATTTGAATTACTATCTATCACATAATTAACTGATTCTTAAAATTATTTTAATTATCTTCCAAATTATGTAACTTTCTCTTAACATATAAATGATGGAGATATATCTAACCATACTTATTAAAAATCTTTCATCTAATTTATCATATATTTTATTCATACTTTTTAAAAGGATTTTAAAAGATCAGCCAGTAAAGCAGATTGAATTTTTTAAATCATTACAGAAAATGTAAAATCATTAAAGTTCTTTTGATCCTTTTAATATATAATATTATAATACTTAAGTTAGAATTCTTTCTAAATGCTTATGAAAATCATGCATTTCTGTTTTAGATAATACTAATTCAGTATTTTCAAAAAGCAGTCTATCCTCAAGAGGTTGCTCTGGTTCAAATAATTTAGCTGTAAATATTGGTATTTTATATGTCTCATCAAAATATTTTATTTCTATATAATTTACCTCATCTTCCTTATTTTAATGAGTGTTATTTATATCTAAAATTATTATTTCTCATTACCAAAGCTATCAAAGAAATCAGAAAGGTCATCACCTTCATCAACTGAATCCTCTTATTATTAATCATCATAAACTGGAAATTAATGATCACCAGAAGGAGCCAATAGTCTTTCTTCTGTTTATTTCTTAATAACTTAATCTGATTCAGCAAATGTTGAAAATTAAACTGATGGAGTTACATTTCTAAAACTTGGAAATGGCCTATAATTAGATTCCTCTTCAGAATCCTCATCATCACTGAAACATTCTAAAAAGTCTTCAAAATCTTGATCTAATTATGCTCCATCATCCTATGCTAATCCATTGAAGATATCATCAATGTCATCTAAATTTTTTAATAGGTTGATTTGACTTGAATCTATAGAATGAGGTTATTAGTTCATTATATTTTTAATATTATTGATATTTCAATTATTTTATCTCCACATTAATATTTCTTCTAACATAACTTTTATATTAACTTGTTATATTCTACAAATATTTAATTAAAGTTCTTCATTTTTTATATCTTCTTTATAATTCTACTATTCCCTATAATTCTAAATTATTCACCTCATTATTTTTTATTAATTTTGACATTAATTTTCAATCATTTTAAACAAAAAATGATACAATCAATTAAGTAAAATAAACTTAGTCAATTTTCTTAATGCTTTTGCTTTAAAAAAATCAGTAACTTAAAATTTTGGTGAATAATTTATAGATTTAGAAAAGTTATGAAAAATATTTTGTTTTAATATATAATAGCTTTGAAAACAAGATAAATTATGATAACTTTTTGTAAATTAATTATAATTATATATAGATTCTATTAAGAGTCTTTTTATACATTATTATCAAAATAAAATTATTTGTCAAAATTATAAATATGTCTTTAAAACCCTTTTAGAGAAATTATATATTGAATATTTTGAATTTCTAAACTATTTAATTAAAAAATTGATATTCTTTTAGTTATTTGTTAAATTAAAATATAACAACAACGTTTAGAATAGATTTTTAATAAATTTATTTTATAAATCTTTTGGCGATAGCAATGTAGAAATCTTAAACAAATCTTATTTTCCATACAATTAAATAAAGATCTAAATGGGATAATCTAAATAATATTTTTAATTTATGTAGAAACTTAGCATTTTATCAATTAAAAAAAAATAATTCGATTTTTTTTGTATTAAAAAAATTTAATATTTAATATGGGAGGTTTAAGAAATTTTAATCAAATAAAATAATTTGTCAATTAAAAATTTAATCCGTATTTTTAGATCATGAATGTATTTAAAAATAAGTTTGACTCTTTTATGAATCAATAGATTTTTTTAATTTAATAAATCATACATAAATAAATAATAAAAGAAGTTAGATTATAAATATAATAATCTTTTCATTTAATTTAATAAGAATTATTAAACAGTATATATTAATGGAATAGCAAATATATTTAAATAATAATTATTATTGGATCAGATATTAAATATTCATAAATTTTTCATATTGGAGTTTTGTACTTCTAATTTTATGATCTAGCATAATGAACATGAGTTCCACTTTGATTTTAATTTATTTTAGACATTACTTCATCTTAAGAATTGTTAATTTTCATGAGTTGCCTAAGATCATAATTGTATTTTACTATTATCTTTATCTATGTTATAATTTTTAGATTGCCTTTTGTATACTTTATTTTAATTATAATTCAATTGATTTCAAATTTGAAATTTAAGCATGAGGATTATTATTTTATTCAGATATCTGATGATCTTAATCATAATATTTATTCATATAGTGTCCAAACCAATAACATTCTGATTATATTTCTGTTTTCATTGGTTATAGAATCAAATATAATTCGATTAAAAATTTAAAAGTTTTCTGTTAAAGTAACTGATCTTGCTCATCCATTAATTATTCCAATTTAATGAATTATTCTAACTCTTAATTCATAAAATTTATAGATGATTCAATAAGTTCTTTTCCAAGATTATGCTCTTTATTAATTTTTCCATACTTTTCAACTAGTAATTGATTATAAGATAAGAATTCCATTTTTTATACATTCATTTCCGTAACTAACTTATTTATTAGATTATCATAATTTGGTCTATTTCAAATCTAATAATACCCTCTCTTCTCAAGATATTCTAAAGGTTTTTAGCTTAGAATGTATTCAAGCTTTAGGTTTGGAGTGTTGTTTTCCTTTGATATCGTAGGCTCTTCGAACATGATATTAGGAGGCTCTTAATGTGCTTGAGGGTTTTTATTTTAAGGCTTGCCACCACCGCATCCCATTAATAAGTAAAAATAAATTAATAATAAATTATTGTAAGTTAAATTATATATAGTATGCTTTTATTTAATTAAATATTTATAATCATATCTTAAAATCTCATTTATTTAAGGATTATTAGGAACTAATATTATAAGAAGACATATCATTAGATACAAACTTGATTTATTCTTACTTTTTTTCTAAAATAATACAATTTAATAATTAATTATGCAGATTTATTTTTTGATTCATTTATTTAGATAAATCTTACTTTCCCAATTCCAGTGTAAATTTAAATTATCAAATTAAGGATTTTATCTTCTATAATATTTTTTTAATTTAATTTTAAGGTTCATTTTTTATTTTTATTTTACCCATTTTCTTATTTCTTTATTTATATTTTTTATTTCCCTATTTTACTTTCTATTTCTTTTCTTAATCTATAATTTTTCAAATTCTTTTTATAAACTCTTGCTATTACCACTACATTTGTAAATACTTTTTTCAAAACTTTTCTAATTAAAATTCAACCAATTATAATTCTTTTTAATGAATAACAAACCCATTATTTATTTTAGTGTGAAAACAATCTGTTTTAAGTTCTGGTGATTAAATAATACCATCATTTTTATTTTTACTAAATATTTCTAATAATAGATTCAATTCATTTTTTTCTTTTTAGTTAAGACTTTCTATAATAGAAAATGGAGATCATGATGCTTATTTTATTTTAGGTGAATCTTCAAAAGCTTAATCGATACTATAAGTATCTTTTATTCTAATATTAAAAATTGTTTGCCTACATCATCTATATGAATTCTATTTATTTATTATAGAATTTCAAAACCCTCTTAAACTTATCCAAATAACCTATGTTTACCATCTCTTTAGGTAGCATTCCATATCTATAATATTAAAATCTGAATTATTTTTAGGTAGTATGGAGTTTGATAGGGATACAACTCCATATTAATTTTGCTATAAAATACTTATTTTTAGATATTCTTAATAATCGATTGATCTAATTCTAGAGATGTTGGTTAATTATATATTTTTGTTAGTGGTTTTATAGTTTTTTAAAACCTAAGTAATCTTTTTAAAAAATAGTAAAAATAGAACTCCATTATAAAATTAAGATTAGCAGAGTTTTATGAAGTTCTTGGCTTATGAAGCAACTTGGTTTAGTAGTTGAATTATGATATCTCATAATGAAGTTTCTAATACAATTGACATAAATAAAAATTATTATGCGTCAGATCAATTCAGATGACTCATTAAATAAATAATGAATCAAAATTTTGAAGGATCTTAAGCCGAAGTTCTACATCCTAAAACACACATGTAAATATAGGCTGTCTAACATGAAAAAATTATTTAAGGGTTTGATCATGATCCTGAGAAATTTTTGGGAGAATTTCAATTCAACTCACATTTGCTTACAAGACAGTATCTTGTTGGAGAAGGTATTAATTAAATCAATGTAATAGGAACACAATTAAGATTATACTTTACTAAAGTTACTCCTTAAAATGTTTAAATTAAAGCATCATTAGCAATCATTCATGGATTTGGTGAACATTCAGGGAGATTTTTACATGTATATTATCTATTTAGAATAATAGTTAGCTGATTTTTATGCCAAAGCTGGATTTGAAATATATATGATTGACTTAAGAGGATTTGGTTATTCTGGTGGTGCTAGAGGATGTGCTACATAATAATAATTACTTTTAGATGTTAAAGTTTTAATTTAATAAGTGAATCCATCATTACCATTATTTTTATATGGTCATTCTATGGGAGGTTTAATAGTCTTATCATTTACATTATTAAATCCAGCTATTTAAATTGCTGGTGTTATAGCTACAAGTCCATTATTAGGATTTCCATCTGATCGTAAATTAGATTGGTTGAAACTCAATTTTGTTACTACAGCTGGTAAAAAATTAGAAGACATGGTTGTTAATAGTATGGTTAATCCAACTGCTTTAACAAAAAATAATAATCAATTAAAGCATTCTTTTGGAGATAGATTAATGATACCATTTTGTGGTTTAAATATGGCAGCATCTATATTATCATAAGTGAAAATGATGAAGAGTCATTCTCATTTATTTAATAAACCATTATTAATTTTACATGGAAAATAAGATGCTGTAACTAATTATCATGATTCTGTATATTTCTTTGAAAACTGTAAAAGTTAAGAAAAAGCTTTAAAACTATTTGAAAATGGTTATCATGAATTATAGCATGATGAAGAATGCGATGAATTAATGACAATAACATTAGATTGGTTATAAAGACGTTTAGATAATGCAAAAATTCTTGGAAATGTTCCTACAGTAATTAATGTACATCCTTTAAAAAGAAAATAAAATAAAAGAATGAAATTTATTTTATTTTTCTTGATATTAGCCTATTTTATCATTTCCTTGAAGTAAATATTATAAATGATTTTTAGATATAAAAACTTAGCTTAAGGATCAAAACTCAAGAAACTAATTATCCCATTATTGTTATTTAAAAAATGAATAAATTAGTTTAATCGTATTATTATTTAATATCAATTTATTTATGTTAATTCATATATATATATATATTGATAAAGTCTATTATATTAAAGTCTTATATATATCTTTTTTATCAAAATAATTTACAGCATAGTAATTTTTTTTTGAACTCTATAAAGATTTATTCCTCAATAATTTCTATAATTTTAATTAATTAATTTAAAACCATTCAAAATTTAATTGAACATTTAATTAATTAAACCTTAATTAATTATATCATCTTAAAAAAAAAATATGAGCAAGATTAGATAAAAATTAATATATCAATATCATATCTTTTAATAATTTATTTAATTTTATAATTTATATATATATATCTAAATACTTGATTTATATTTATTATAATGGGCAATTATTGCAAAAAAAAATTTAATTAAATAATACTCATTATTATATCATTAATTAGGTATATCTAAAGAATTCAATTGTTAATGCAAATAAATTTAAATATTTTATTAAATATCACTCATTATTTTGATCTTTCAAATCGTTTGTTATTGTTTGATACTATTGAAAATATTATTCATTCTTTTATTAAGGATCAAATCTTTCTAATATTATGCCAAGTGATCTAACCAATATAATCACAATAAAAATTATGGTTTCATAAACTAATTTTTCTGCAAATAATTCTACTACTCGTAGGTGATACAAGTTTCTCATACTATGAAGAGCAGAAAAAGTTATTTAAGAAAATTAAATTACTATTAATGAATCAATTATTTTATTATTAAAATAATAAACAGCAAATTTGCAATCTATATTTTGATCATTTTTCAATACATACAAAGTAATTTTCTTAATTATATCTAATGTTGCAAACAAACCAAACTAAACTTATTATAATTATTATTACAATGCTTATTATTAATAAGGTAGTATTAAATAATACATTAAAGTTCTCAGAACCAATAAGAGCATCTTAAAATTTAACATTACTAAATGACATTCTATGACCTAAACAAAACCAACTATAATTCAAAATTAATTGTATTGTTGCTCCAGCTATAAGAGGTAACCAAGCCCTTTCAATTTTCAAATAGAATTTAGTCAAATAATAAATTGAATAAAATAAACAGCAATACACTATCATTCCCTATTTTCCAGAGACAGTTAATATGATTAAAAAAACTATGATTAATTAAAATAATTACAATAACTAAAATCTCTAAAAATAGCAATCATTACTAAAGAACATATGTATAAAAACATAGGAAGATAGATTGTTAATATTTTTAAATGACTTTCAAATAATTCTGTTAATAGGTTATTAAATGCTTAACAATTATTAAAAAAATATATGAACTAGGCTAAACCTAAAAAGATATAAAAGTATATTCTATATATATATAAAATAATAATACTTTAAATTTAGTTTATAAAGTATTTTTTACACAAAAATAATAGGTAGAATAAATTTTATCCAAAATGATTAAAAAATATAATTAATCGAGTTAAAAATTAAAGCTGATTAAGGTTATGTAGTTAATTATGGAATGTTATATTATTCTGCTAAAATTAAGAAGGTTAAAGCTATAATAACATACTAAATTTATTTTATCAATCTAAAATGAGTTATCAAAATAATGATGAAGATATTTAATAAAGTTCCAAATATATTTGATGAATAAACAAATTAACGTCTGAGTGATAATTCTTGGATACCCTTTTAAACTATGATATTCGTAAAAATCATAAAATATTATCTATAATGTGGCAATGGATTCATAATTTTATAAACAATAAGTTTTAAATTTTCAATATAAGTTAGGGGTAATACTATTTATTTCATAATTGCAAATATTAAATAAAATGAAATAAATTTAATTGATAAATAAAGAGAAAATAGTAAACAAATAATAATAGCAAGAGGCATAATTATGATTATGAACTCTAACCTATAAATTAAATAAGGATTTTAATTTGAAAGTTTTTTATCAAAAAGGTATTCCATTAATTTGATAAGATGAAAAGCAAATAAAATGATCATCATTGACACACCAAGATATAAAAAATAATAATCATGAGTTTTAGCTTTTTCTTTGATTTCAACCTATAATTCCAATATCAATTCTTAAATATTTTAGCAATTTAATTTAGGACTTGATAACTTTTCTTCATATTTTTATAAGTTTATATCTAAAGTACTTTATGATTTAGTTAATTTATTTAAGTAATTCATAATTTAAATTAAGTTCTCCTTACAACTATTTTCTTACTATTCTTTTGTATTAATCATTTCAGTTAAAATTGCTCCCATATTACTAAAAGGCATAGATATTCCCATTAAATATGAGATAGTTGGAGCTAAATTAATGCTATATACTTAACGAGCATATAAATTTCGATCGAGAATTTATTAATTTACATATCGTTTATTTCTAATAACTTAATTAAATATATCTTTATTAAATTTATACTTTTTATTAATTCCATAAATAGTAGAGCTAACTTCATGAGAACTATCTCCACCATGATTACCATCTGGTGACATTCCATGATCACCAACTACAAATAACATTGTATTATTATCCATTTTTTTATATATCCTATATAATAGATTAGAATATTATTTCTATTTCTTCCAAAGAGATTTATTACTATCATTATAACTATGACCAGAATGATCAATTCCAAGAAGATGTCCAACAATAAAATCATATTAATTTTCTTTCATTAATTCTTCAATATTGTTTATAATAATATTATCGTCAGAATCTACATCTCTAACATCAAATGATTCAGAAACATATTTGTAATCAAATGATTTTGGAAACATATGAAACCAAGTGTCATCTCCTAATAATGCTATCTTTTTATTATTTCTTTTCATAGAATAGATTATATTATCTTCTTTTAATTCTTATGCTGCCATATTTGACCCGAAATCTACAAATGCTGGAAAATTTCCTGTCGTTATAGATTTCAAATTTAATTAAGTAGCTGTTGGAGTAGATGAGATTCCATAATATAAAATTTAATACTCTTCTTAATTTTCTTTCATATCTCCATAAAAACTAAAGTTTTTATTTGCAAATAAATCAATTCTTAATGCATCCACCAAAAGTAAAATCACTTTCATTGGTTCATCATTTGATGATTCACTTTCATTTATATCCTGAAACGTTGGTTAGACTTCAAAATATCCCATTAAATACAAAGAAAGGGCAAAAACTTCAATTATTAGAAGTCCTATTGAAGTATTATTCCACATATAAATAAATTAATTATAAAAAAATAAAAACTTATCCCTAATAAAACCGTTATAATTTGCTGTCTAACCTCTATTGTATTTATTGACATGGTCATTACAGATTATGGAGCATATGTTACAATACTAATAAAAACTCTATTTCTTATAGAATAATGCTTGAATTTTGTGCTAAATATCTTTAAAAAAGCAGCTGTTTCTGTCAAAGTTATTAGAGTTTTTACAGTAATAGTAATGCTAGAAAAGGCTAATATTTTAGCATTCTTTAATTAATATGAAAAATAGGGAAATGGATTATAAATAGATTTGGGTATGCTAAAGGAGCTGCTTATTTAAATTAATTTATTTTAAATTAAAATAATGAGAAACTTTGTTTTAATGGAATTTGTAATTATGAATTTGATGCAGGAACTCATTTTTATAATATAAATTAATTTTAGGATGGAAAATTTTTTAGTTTGATATGTTTAGAAGAAAATTTTATTAAGAACTTGTAAAAAAAAAACTTAATTGAATGTGTTCTAAGTTAATAAAGGTATATAATTTAAATTATAATAAAGAGGTTAATTTTATTGAATGGAAAAATGAGAAATATCAAATATATTTCAAAGTACAATAATCAACTATAATAGAAATGGTAAATTTAATTTATTGGATAATCAATTATTCCATGATTATAAATTTTTAATTAGAGATGTTACAAAAATTGGTTAGCATAATGTTATAATTATTATTGAGTCTCAGTAATTGATAAATAAAAGAATAAAATATATATGTTAAAGTAATTAAATATCAAAAATAATTAATTTGTGAAAAGTTATTGAAATAGACTTTAGTGTTTTCTGTGGGTCATTAATTCGAATTATAAATATTTTTCTAAAATATCTAGTAAATTGAATTATAACCCCATTTATTCGAATAAAAGGATAAAGTATAATATAAATAATAGTTAAATAGAATTCAAAGGGTTTTAATTAAATATAATAAAATATATATTTTTAGTTAAAATAACTGAAAAAAAATGAGCAAAATTAAAAATAACTTTTTAATTAATCTAGTTATTCTTTAGAAAAAGTATTTAATAATAATTTTATGATTTGTTCTTATGATTTATGCAATAAATTGATAAGTTTAGATTCCTTAATGAATGGGCTGACAATATAATGTTTATGGTGTCCAAATGCTTTTTATTGCTGCGAAATTTGTAGACAATAGGATAGGTACTATTAGAAAGTAATTAACTGTTAGCAAGCATTAATAATTATGTGGAGGGTCATAGCAATAAGTTCTTGTAGACAAATCAAATATTATAAAAGAAATGCAATTATTAGAATAAATAGGATAAGGGAGTTTTGGAACAGTGCATAAAATATCAATATAAGGCTAATTATATGCTTTAAAGAAGATGAATAAAAATAAATGTTCAAAGGAAGTTAGAATACATAAGCATTTGAATCATAAAAACATAATTTAGTTTCATTACTTCATAGAAGATGATGATTATATATATATAATTATGGAATATGCATGTAAAACATTGTTAATTTTTAGCTCAGGGCACATTAACATAGAATAGAGAGAATTGTAATATTCAAAGCATCTTCATACAATTATGTGAAGCTATCATGTATCTTCATTAAAAGGGTATTATTCATAGAGATTTAAAACCTGATAATATTTTATTAGACAAAAATGGGAATCCTAAAATTTGTGATTTTGGCTTAGCTACATATGAAAGTGTAATAAGTAGTTTTTCTGGAACATTTGAATTTATGGCACCAGAAGTAATTAAGAATTTACCTTAAACCAAAAAAATTGATGTATGGTCTTTAGCTGCTATATTATACTGGTTGCTGGAAAACAAACCATTAGTATAAGGTTTAATAATAAACAAATTTAGGCAATTAGCTAGAAAAGATTCAGTAAATTCTAGATTTTACGTCACCTAAATTTACAAAAATAACAAATCCATTAATTAAAGATCTATTAAATCAGATGCTACTACCAGATCCTGATAATAGAATTTCATTGTAAGGTGTGCTAAATCATAAATGGATATAAAGCATAAATACAATAGAGAAAGAAATTAATGATATTTCTACATAGCCAAGTGTTTAAAAATAACAATAAATAGAAATTTAATAATAAATGTAAAAACAAAATATAAGCATTTTGTAAAAAGTTGTATCACTTTTTGGTTGCGGAGGGAGAGAAAAACTGTTTTGATGATGATGATTTTGATTTTAGATTATTGAGTTTTTAGTTTTCCCACTTAATAAATTAATAAATCTAACTGATATTCAATACATTATTTGAAAAATGAATTCTGAAGTCTAAGACATTATAGATTTATATTAGTAGATAGTTTCTAATTTAGATTAGGATCCATAAAGAGATGTTACTATGTATTTTATAATTTGAAAGTATAATAGTGAGTAACTAAAAAATGAAAGAAATTATTGCACAATATTTAGAATCATGTTTCCATTTCTAGAGAAGGAAATTGATAATATTCAAAAAGAAAGAAATCCAACAGGTGAGAAATTGTAAGGACTAATCGAATTTTTAGTAAATCATCTTGAAAATATAATTAGTCTTATCCAGTTTTAACAATGGATTTATCGCATATAAGTGGTCATTCTATTGCATAAGGAGATTTGAGACATCTTTATAACTTTTTATAAATTTTACTTGAACTATCAAAACTTTATAAGGATTAAGTTTAAAATACAAGATCAAATTCAACAAGCTAATAAAACAATACAACTCCTCCAGAATAATAACCTGGTAAATAATTTTCATTTATTTAGATTATTTTAAAGATTAAGATGATTATGAGCAATCATCTTAAGGGGATGGTGGATATTAGTAAACTGATAAAATTGAAAGGAAAGGATCTTAATAACATTTGAAAAATGAGGCAAATGTAAATAAGAATGCTGTTACTCAAAATTAACTATCTAAAAATCAAAGAAAATCTTCAGCTAGAAAATAGGATTAAAAAAAAGTACTTAATTCAAAGGGAAATCAGTTAAAAGCTATTAGAAATAATTTGTTACCTGTAACCTAACTCTAATAAAGAATTATAACATAAGATCCAAATATAGCTTTAAAATTCAAAAATTAATAATAGTAGCAATAAAAGAAAACATTAAAAAAATAATAACATTCTTAATCTCCTTAAGAAGAAGAATAATTAGATTAAATGAATTTCGAAGATATTAGTGATATAGATTATGATTTTTTGGAAAAATATGATGAAGAAGAAATAAATCAATTAGAAGATGATGATCCAATAAAAATGAAATATAATAGAGAACTATAAAAGGATGATATAAGAAAATTATTATAAGAAAAAATGAAAGAAGGAGAAGAATTAGGGGAATAACCAGAAATTGATGATTTTATAGATTTTTAAATTAAAGTCATTAAAGAATCATTAGGTAATATGAAAAATTTACCTCCAAGTGATGAAAAAGAAACTATTGAAAATATCATAAAAAATAGAAATTAATATAAAGAATTTTTAAAAGATTATCTTAAGACTTATTAATAAAAATAATAGAAACAAGAATCATAATAAAATAAATCAATACAAAATTAAAAGTAACTTACTAAAATGAATCAAAAAAAGAAAGATGATTTAAAAAAAGAATTTGAAAATGAACATTTGTCAATGTATTATAAATTAAGAGATGAAAAATTAAATTATTTAAGAAAAATGTAATATTTTATTAAATTCTCATAGTCATCGAATCATCTTTGAATTAGAAAAAAGAAAGATTATAGATGAGAAAAAGGATCATCTATAAATGAGAAGATAATAAAATATAATTACTAGAAATGCACTTTCATCAGTTGAAAATGCTTATAATGATAAAATTACTATGCTAAAAGAAAAATTATAAAATGAGCGAAAAGAAAGACATGTTGCAGGAGTTGCTTAAAAATAAGTAACTTAATTTTTTATTTGAAAGATTCTCTCTAAATTAGAAAAAGAGTTAAAAGATGAAAAAATTAAATAAATTTAAGAACTGAAAGATATATGGAGATAAGAAAAAGAAAGATTCGATTATTTAATGAAAGATGATGGGGAATTAGAAAAGAGAATCCTATAAATTTATAAAAAATATTGAGAATATTATATATATGCTATTATTAATTATATATTTATATTAATTTTAGATTTTTTATGATTTAATATGAAATTTGTAAAAATATCATTAAATTTATTGGAGTTCATCATATTTTTAATGTGATTAAAATATAATTATCTATTTATAAATATATACAATATTTTTTAATTTCTATTTAAGAATAATCCAAAAAAATAGAGAAATAAATCATATATAAAATTAATTAACTAGATATAAGGAAATCTTATGTATTAATATTAATATAAAGAAAAAATATCATTTATTTTATTATTAGTATTCCTTGTACAATCTTTCATAATATGCCTCATTTATCCAAGGTTGATCATCTTTTTCATATTTTAATGGAGGAAATTTGAATGAAAGTTATTATATAATTTGTTATTTCAATTAAGCCGAATTTTTTTTTGGAGGATATAAAACACCTAATTCTGTATTAGCTATATATAATTAAGTGGCATTTTTTTCCATTTTCCCCCAAGCACCTTAACTAAAATTATGGCTTCCAATATAAATAGATGTATAATCATTAATATCTTCATCTAATCCAGTAATAATCATAACTTTTAAATGAGGAATATTACCAGTATGCCAATAATAGTGATCTGATCCTTAATATTTATAAAATAGATGTTTAGGAAATTTAGGATTTTCATATAATTATTTCTTTAAATATAATGGATTGGCAAAATCAACTCCTCCATGAGTTTAGTTTTCAATATAATCTGCTGTAGGATATATTAATTTCAATTTTGATTATTCTTCCTCTTATTAATTTAAAATCATTTAATTTAATTTTTTATTATTTTATTCACTTGCCAATGGTTATTTATAAACTCTACCTGTACAACATTATAAAGCAAAATCAATATAATTATTATCTAATTATCCTATACTAGTAGTTTAATATGTAACACAAACTTATTTAGGTATTTCCATTTTATTATTACATAATTCTTAATATAAGACAGACTGAAGTCTCATCATACCATATTTATATAATTGATTACCTACAAATCTTCCTGGGATTGATGTAATTAGCCTTATATTTATATCTCTAAAATCATAATCATCATAATTAATTTTAAGGAGATCTTCAAATTTATGAGATGTAGGTAATATTTCATATAAGAATTCTCTTAGCATAGTTTTAAACTCTTAAGAAGTTTAGTCTAATTCACTTTTTCCTTATTTAAAGTCTTATATCCACATTGCTTATGACCATATTGTCCAATCTCCTACATGTAAATTTTAACTTCCGATGACAATCCGAATAAATTTTGGAAATTTTAGAATCCATATTTTTGGATGAAATGCACCTCCAAACATACTTGAACCTAATTTTGATGGTTTAATTACCATCCAATTTGGATAATTGTTATATTTTTCAATAATTTCAAGTTTTTTGTTTATATTGTCATTATCATTCACAATGAAGAGTTGTACACCTGATTATACTAAAGGTTTTAATAATTCATCTTCAAATCCAAAACAAGTCATAAGAGCACTTTCTAATGTCTTTTTTGGCTTTTAAGTTTTTACATCAATAAATGCATTTTCGTAAAGGATGTTAATAAATGGTAAATGATGTGGTTGTCTTTCATCTGTAGGATATTATGTTAAACAATTTAAACAAAATGTTCCAATAGGAAATGATAATTAAACTTCTTTTTCTTAGATTTATTATTTGATTTCATCATCTTCTATAACTACAATCTATTCTTTTTATTTTAGTCTTTTCTGATTTTCTAGATATAGTTCCTTTTAAACTGTATTAATCTCGATGTAAGAAGAATTAATTTAGTCTTGTTCTTTAGACAATTCCTGAAGGGTTCTTTTTTTCATAATGATAATGTTATGAGAAGAATTGAATAAATTATATTCAATTAATTGTTTATATTTCTTTTGTAATAAAATGAGTTTTTTTTCCCATTCTTTATCAAGATTTTGAGTTTGAATTTTGTCTTTTGGATGAACCTGAATCAGAAGGTGATCTCTTTGGTGTAACACTTCTTTTTCTGATTCTTTAATCTCTTCTAGGGCTTCTGCTATGTCTCTTTCTTTTGTTTTGATATCTTCTTCTTCTAGATCTGGATGATGAATAAGAAGAATATGATCTTGATTCAGATCTTCTATGACGGCGCCTAAAATTTTAAATATCTTTATACTTTGATCTTGAATCTGATCGTCTTCTGCTACGTCTAGATGATTTAATAATTGGACAATTACGAGCCCTAGAAATTTAATTAAAATTTTTACCAATGACCACCTTTATCGCATTTGAAACATTTATCTTCTTCATTTGGGCCTGATTTTCTTCCTTTACGATTGTCAACTACATCTACTTTCAATTTTTATCCATTATAAGCTTATCCATTCATACCCTTTAAAGCTTCTTGTGCTTCCTACTCACTACTGAAGGTCTTAATTTCTAAATTAGTTCATACAACAAATGAATATGATCCCTTGTATGCAACTTCTTTGATCGTTCCATACTTTTTGAAGATATCTCTAACATCTTTCTCATCCTATACTTTGCTACGGCTATACCCAGCAACAAATAGTTAATTAGGGATAATATCACCCATTAATTTAATTAATAAAATTAAATCCAAATAAATAATTATATTTGACATATTTTATTCCTTTATTAATTAACCAAAAATATATCTCATTCATGTTCTTACCTTCCAATCACATTGTAGATATATTTAATTTCTTAAAATTGGCATTTAGAAATGCTATTTTATTCCTAACTTAATCTATATAATATATATTAATATAACTAATCATTTTCAAATTAAACAATTATAAAAATATAATATAATTATCAATCATTATTTTATTTCCATATTTTTATGAATTTTGAATAATCCCAAGTAATAAGATACTAATTATTCTTTGAAAATTAATAAAAAAAGCTGTGTTCAAATTATATAGTCTAGATTTATTAATATATATTTTTTGTATCCTTTGTAAATATCAATAGATCTTCGTTTCTTTTCAAACCCACTACATCCTAACTTTGTGAGATTGAAGAATTATATTCAAATACTTAATTTAACATACTCTAAAGACATTAGGTCATATTAACCTAACCTTCCTCATATAATTCATTTTTTGTATTAAAATTAAATAATAAATATTCCATTTTTTAAGTCTATATTACCAATTAATCATTGTCAATATTATAGTATTTCTTGCCTTTTATACACTTAAGATTAATTAATTATCTCTTCTTCCATTGATTGAATTGATTCTTAGCAAGAAATTATACCTAACCGCTTTAATTTATTATTATTATTTTCATACAATTCTTGTCATAACTCACCTAAAGAATCTGAGAATGTTCATTTTGGCTAATTTGTATGACTTACTTATTTATCCATTAGTTTTCAGATGATCTTTACCAAACTACTATAAAATTATAATCCATGACTCCAATGAGTTCATTTTCATCATTGTTTAATATTAACTAAACGACTTCAAAATCTCTAGTTTACTATTCCTTGTAGATAAGGAATTATTTATTCCACTTCCTATCTGAATCTCTGGTCCAAACTATTACGTTATCATTCCAACTTCCAATTGAAAAGAACATATCTTCTTTGTTACTATAAACAATATTATTGACACAAGATTTATGTCCTTATAGACTTTATTCCACTCTCATAGTCTAATTATCATTTTAACAAACTAGGATTTCAACACCATAAGCCATAACCCAAATACTATTTGAATTATTAAAACCAAAAGCTTTACACTATTGAGAGTGTTCAAAACTAGTGATTAAGTTATAACCGATAGAGGATTCTCTAAGGTTTGAGTCTGAAGTGATTTTAGAAAATTCTAAAGGTTTCTTAATCTCCTAGCATAGACAATAAATTGACATTAAGAATATGATATAAAAATAATTAATAGATTGAATAAATTAATTAATCACTTTTAACTTAAGTAATGATACATATTATTTAAGCTTATCAAACAAATTTGTTATTTAATATCACTTATCTATATTTAGAATTTTTTAATTTGCCCTATAATTATCAATAATAATAAAAATTCAAATTTTTTCTTTTTGAATTCTAAAATGTGAAACATTCATACAAATATCACTTCTATTGAAAAATCAAATATCATTCTTTATGAATGATTGTATACTTGTAATTGAGAAGCATAAACACTATTATTAAATATAAACATAATGAATTATTATGAAAAAAGAGTCTGAATAAGTGATACGACTTACAAAATATCAGCCTATAAATATATTAAAATATAAACCTTAAAATTGTCTAATAAACAGATATCTTTGAATTTCTCCCTGAAAAGAAAATAACAAAGATAAATAGAAATAACAAAATTATTAGTATTAATTTGTTAATTACAATATCCTTGAAATTTTAGTAATACACATAATAAATTATAATTAATAATGATAGAAAAGTAAAATATTTTAAATTAGTTTCTAAATATATATAATAAATATAATACATTTGTTTTATGTAATTTCAATCCTTCTCAAATTCTATCTATTATTAAGTTGTGAAGGTGCTTATTATATATAAAATCAAAATTTTTTAATTAATTTAAAATCTGAATTTAATATATATCAGAACAATTTTTGCTTGAAATTTTGAGATAAAATTCTTTATGTATATATAAAAATAAGATAGCCAGCTTTGAAATATATCTTAAAGATAATCAATCATTAATGATATATTAATATTATTTGAATATATCTAAAATAATAAAAATGATTTTATTTAGGATCTTATTCAATATATATAATTGTAAAATATCATATCACGATAATCATCAAAGTACTGATGAAAGCAAAGATTCCTAAAAATGTCCAACCAAATATTTTGGCTTTATCTTCATAAGATCCTTAATTCATAGGTGGTACAATAGCTAATGATAGGAAGAATCCTGTAATAAATCCTCCAATTTAACCATATTTATCATTATGATTTGTGTTAATAGCTGATAATGTGATGACTAAGACAAATGTCAATAGAATCCACATAAAACAACATAAAAATGCTCTCATTTCATTTAAGACTTCAAGTGAACACCAATTTAATATTATACACTAAATAAAAATAGAATTTTACTCCAAAGAATGCTCCTATTAACCCATATATAGCAGTATTTGCATGTAAATAAATAAGATCTGTACAACAATTAATAGAACTTCCAAATAATGCTCCCATAGCTCCACTAAAAATATATAAAGAAATTGCTATAATTGGACCTGATGCATATTCAAAACTGGATAATAATATGAGTAAAAAGAATATAATGCAAAAATAGTGATAAAAATCTCTACTCAAAAAGATGCTAGTAAATAATTATTAGAACATGAACTCATTCTTGATTTGATTTGTAACTAAACCTCCATGACTTAAAAGTGTTGCATCATTAATTTCTAGAAATTATCCTTATTTTTCAATTCCTCCAAATATACATAGAGTAAATAGTAAAGTATATACAAATATTGCTAAAGTTGTAACAGATTGTATCTTATATCCAGGAAAATAATTATTCTATAACATTTCATAGTAATGCATTTATCGGGGATTCGTTTTTACAACTTAAGCTCCTAATTTATTCAAAAATAGAAATAACCAATAAATGGAAATCGTTTTATACTGTCTCCAAAATAATCGTGCAACGTTCTTTGTTGTCTTCTTTATTAATAATCTGGTTGATATTCTCCATAACCATGTAAATTTGCCATTTATTTATTTATTAATTTTAATTTAATGTCTGAAGTAGAAGAAATTAATTTGGAATCAAATATCAAAAAGCCAAAACATTAAAGATAACACAATAAATCTAGGAATATTAGAAAGACTAAAAATAACTTTAATAGACAAAGAAATAATTCATAAAATAGAAATAGAGATAGATAAAGGAGAAATGATTGGAAATAATAAAATGGAGCCAATACAAGAGATTTATATGAAATTGATATCTATAACTTTTTAGCCAAGAATTAAATATCTGACTTAATAGTATTTGTATTGCATAAACTTAGAGTGATATTAAATCTAGATGTGGCAATTTGGTTAAACTTCATATTATTGCCAATAATATATAAGAGAATGAGGCAGAAACTAAAGTAAATATTTAAATCATTAAAGGTAGTTTTGAAAGCTTTTTTCAAAGATAAAAAATCAGCTGATGAATGTTAATTTCAATATAATGATGCCAAACTTGATGATTAATCATTAAGAACAGAATGCAAATATTGATATAAAAAATATATATTAAATGAGATAAATATATGAATTTATTGTAATTCATATTGTTTTCTATGTTGTCTCTGTGCATAATGACTTGAAATAACAACAATTTGTAAATTGAAAATATTTATATTAGAACCCAAAAGACATTTATTAGGTATGGATGCTATTAAATATGTTCTTTACTTCCATTTTTATTATAACTAAAAAGCTTACCTTAATACTTGTCTTTTTGCTCTAAAGTTATATGTACTTTTACTTAAGCAAATATAATCCTTATTATGTCTAAGCGGCAACTGTATTGATTCCAATTGCTTTAATTGATAAATCTAATATATATATAATATTGAATTAGATTGGAGCATTTTTGATATCTGGACCCTATAATTAGAATTAGTAGATATTATTTGTGATTTTAATCATAGCTTTGGCTATTTATATTTATGCAAAATAACATGTTGAAGAAATTTTAACTAAAGTAACTTATAATAAAATAAATAGAAAAAACAAAAAGTTGACTAAGATGAAAAATTTTTATAAGAATTACCATTTCCATTATTTATAGTCAATATAAAATCTTAAATACATTGGTCAAATAAAATGGCTAGAGAATTAACTGTTAATTGTGGAGTTAAATAGGGAGGATCTTTAAAAGAGATATTTTAAGATTAAGATTTATTTTTGTAATACTTAACTTAAGATTCTAAATAATTGATTGTTTAAATGAATACAGTTTTAATTTAATAATCTTTAGAATAAAGCTTACTCAAACAATCAAATAAAAATCCTTAGTAATAGTAATAATAATAATAATAATAATAATAATAACAAATAACACAAGTAAATACTGAACTAAAATTGGCTAAGTTTTAGAGTTAGAAAGAAGATAATTTATAAAAATCAATTCATAAATATTTAAATATAGCATGTTTAACATTGAATTCTTAAAAAATTACAGAATAAATTTAAAAAGAAGTAATAATTTTATTTAGTTTTAGATATTAACAGTTTTAATTAAGCCATTTAAAATCAATTAAATGAGATTGTATATGATATGTATAAATGCAAACAAGACATTCTTATAAAATAAAGTTCTTTAAAATCATTTGATTTAATAAATTAAATAAAAGTAATTCATATTATTATATATTAAGTGGATAATAAATGCTTATAAGTTTATAATAAGATTATTAAAAATGGGATAATATGAGAAGTTTAGAAATAATTAGAGAATCAGATTTAAAAGTGATTTCCTAATCAATTGTAGATTTATATAAGATAATTTTTGAATTTGAAACTTATGAAGTATCAACAAGTTTCTTTCCATAATCTAGCTTAATAAATTTTTAATGTAGAAATCATCATACATTTTAGTTAAAGGATTAGTAACCTACTTAATTGAAGTATTTGCTGGTAGATATCTATAAAAATTTACAAGCATAAATCTATACTTTGATAATAGTATCTAAGATAAGATGAAAGGTAATTCTACTAATTTTTCTTTGATATTTATGAGTATTTTAGAATTAATAGCAAAATATTCTGGAGATAAAAAACCATCTCTAAAAATTAATTGTAATTTAGATTAAGTAACAGATTAAAATAAAGCATATTAAATTTAATTGTAATTTTTATGGAGACAAGATGATGAATTAGATTAAATTTTTAAAGAGTTCTTTCATTAATAAGTCATGCCTATGGATGTAGATCCATTGGTATAACGTTACTTGATGACAATTAAAATATTATAGAATTATTCTGCAATGAAAATATTTTATATTGAATAATCTGTTGAATCTATTGAATTATTAAGTGAACTCCATATTTTTGTTGATTTTTATATTAGTGATTCTGAAGAATCAAATTAATAAGTGTTTTAACCACCTTAATTACAAATTACTTTTAGTAGAGAATTTGTTGGATAGAATCCTAATGAAATAATGTGGTAACCTAAGAAATAACCTTAAGTTATTATAGATAAGAATCATTAAGCCATGATTCGACCTATTAAACCGATGCCTCCAACTTTCTTTAATAAATAAAATTTACCCATTAATGTTGAAGCTAAATAACCTAAAAATTAAGATGAGGACATTTAAGATGAGGATGTTATTTAAAAAAGAAAAAAACTTATTAAAGAATTGATATAAGCTTAATTTATATAGGTTGCTCCACGTCTCTCTGAAAAAATAGCTCTTTTGATTAAAAAGAAATTAGAAAGCTAAGCAAATAAATTTGAAGCCATTTAATTTTTTGAAGATCATGAAAATGAATTAGATAAAGAAGATTAATGTGAAGAGAATGAAGAGTAATCGGATGATGGAACAAGTGAAGGCATTAAGGGGAACAGCTATGATGAAGAAGAATAATCACAAACTACTCCAAATTTAGATTCTGTTCCTGTTAATAGAAGATATATGAATCTACCATTATAAAGTGAATTTTCTAATTGTGATTCTCGAACTACAAATTAAATGCTTTAAGCATCAGATTTATCAATTATTACATACAAAAAATTAAAAATTGATTCAATTATTGAAGAAATTAAATCTAATCAAATTGATGTTGCTGATTTCAGTTAAATTACAATGAATGAACAATTTATTCTAAAAATTACAGATGCTTTAGAGAAAAACAATTCACTCAAAACTTTAAAATTCGTTAAATGTGATCTTAGTGATCAAATACTTATTAAAATATTAGATTCAATTTCAAAAACATAGTAAATTTTATATTAAATTAGAATTGAGAACTTACATTTATAACATAATTTATTATAAGAAAAAGCTTTGAATCATCTAATTAGTTTAAAGTAGAGTTTAAAAGAATATCCTATAAAAGAATTAAATTTTCACAGTAATCTAGTTAAAGAAATTTAAATCAGCAAGGAGAAAGCATAATTATTAAATCTAGGAATAAAAGTATTATTGGGTTGAGTTATTTATATAAATATAATTAATAAAAATAAAACTGATGGACTCAGATGATGAAAAGCAAGTAGCTCTTCCACCAATTCGAATAAGAAGTTCAGAAATGAAATAAAGTCTAATGAAAGATATTTTATTAAGTAAGAAAACTATTTATGATTATACTTTTAGAATTAGATGAGTTATTCAAAAAATAGACATTAGACAAAGATGTTTGTGTTGAATTAGTCAAACATTTGAAATCTAAACCTGAGTATAAGATAAGTATAATCTTTTCTTTAATAAATTAGTGGGTGAAGGTGAGTGGCAATGTATAATAGGATCTAATTTCGGATGTTCCTTAAGTTATGATTTAGAACTTTTAACTTTTTTTGATTTTTTATCTAATGGGAAATCAGTACTCCTCTTCAAGTCAGGATGATAAATTGATAATGTAAAGATTGATATATGATATAATATAGAATTATCATAAGCATTCTTTAAATGCTAATCATTAAATTTCCTATCTATCATTAATTATTTCATTTATTTTATGCAAATTTTGTCATATAAAGAAATACAATTTAAAACATGATATAAATATTCAATAAACATCATTTACTTGTTATAGATTTCATAAAAATAATAGAACAGAAGAGGTTCTTAGAATATATTCTTCATTTTATATGATAAAAGATAAAAGAGAGAAATACTTCTTACATCTCATTTAATTCTTTAAATAATTTTAAAAAATTAAAAAATAGAAACTTGTAGTTATCAGAGTATAAAGTGCCTAATGATTTTGATCATAGAATTTTTATAGTTTTTTTTTTTTAATGTACAAAGGATTTATTAATTTTATAATTATGTGTTAAATGCTTTTCCAAAAAATTACATTGATCTTATTAATTGTAAATAGATGCAAAATTTGATGTAAATTGTAAGAATATGAATTCAAGCCATTTAGAATAGATGTTTTATTGATATGATCTCTATTTTATACCATAATGTTCTAAATTGCAAAATTTGTTGAATAAATAAATTATATGAATCTAATAATTTTTTTAATCTAATAACTTTCAATTTTTTTACCAATATAATGCTTACTTTTAATGCTAAATAATTAAAAGACTTTCCAAAAAATAATCAAAATTTTTCAATTTTAAGAGAAAAAATACCATCATAATTATAATTAAACTTTAAGTTTTGAATAAAATGCGCCAAATTAGTTAAATTGACTTTACTAGGATTTCTAGTATTATATTAGCTGATTATTTATTTTGATTATCTATAATTATGATTAAATAAAGTTTTTGAGAAGAATGCCGTAAAATTACTATTGTATGGTCTAATGGAAAAGAGAGTTAATAGAAATTAACTTCCTATAAATAAATCTGCAATAAATTAATTTAGAAAGTGTATAAAGGTTTCATGTAAAATTTATGTCAAACATAAATTTTATTTTTGTTTGTAAATGTCATAGCTAAAACTTCAAGTAATAGGGATTTCATATTTTAGCATTGCTCTAGTTCATGTGCTCAGAGTTCTTCATGTAAGATTCAACCAATGATGCATGGAAGGTAGCCAGATCCGATAAGTGCCTAGCAATAGGAAAATTTAATCAATTTAGGAAATACAGATTAGAAGAGAAGGAACAGTTGTGCTGGGGATCGTTTCATTCCAATGATCAAGAAGAAATTCAATATACTTTCAGAAACTAAGGCTCCAGCCCAAGACATAGCATCATCTTAGGCAGCTTTGGAGATGCTATATAAACAATAAATTCTTGATTAAGAACCTGTAATGGAGCCAGAAAATGGTTCATTAAAATTTGTGAATCAAAATAATTTCTAATACAAGAATGAACATCTCCATTATATAGATTCTATAGATCCAAAAAATTATAATAGGTAAACAATATAAAAATAATATAAGTCCTTTGGTAGATCACAAATACTTTGCTTTGCCAGAAACTATGTCAAGTTATTATGGGAAATATATAAGGAAAATTCCAAAAGTACCTTTTAAAGTTTTAGATGCCCCATAATTATAAGATGATTTCTATTTAAATTTAATAGATTGGAGTAATTAAAATACTCTTTCTGTAGCATTAAGTAATTGTGTATATTTATGGTATGATTTTAATTTAAAAGTAGGAATGCTTAATCATCAAAAGTAACAAAATTACTAGATCTAAGTAATGATATAGTCACTAGTGTTGGATGGTCTTTGAGAGGTCCTTTCTTAGGAGTAGGAACTAACAATGGTGAAGTATAAATTTGGGATGCTTGTAAATTATAAAAAGTAAGAACTTATAAAAGTCATGTTGCAAGAGTAGGTACTCTATGTTTTGCTGAGAATATGTTAAGTAGTGGTTCAAGAGATAAATCTATACTTTAAAGAGATTTAAGACAAAAAGAAGACTTTTTCTTTAAATAGACTGCTCATAAATAAGAAGTTTGTGGATTAAAATGGTCACCAGATAGTCAATTATTAGCTTCTGGAGGAAATGATAATAAATTATATATTTGGAGTGCATCATAACATGATAAACCTATATTCAAATTCACAGAACATTAAGCAGCTGTAAAAGCAATAGCATGGAGTCCACATTAACATGGTTTATTAGCAAGTGGTGGAGGAACTGCAGATAAAACTATAAGATTTTGGAATGCTTTAGAAGGCAAATTATTATCAAAAGAAGATACTGGAAGTTAAGTTTGTAATTTAATGTTCAGTAAGATGGAAAATGAACTAATATCTACTCATGGTTACAGTCAACATTAGATTATTCTTTGGAAATGTAATGGAATGAAAAGAATAGCTACTTTGGTTGGACACACTAGTCGGTAAGAATTCTATTTATAAATTTAATAGTGTTCTCTATTTAGCAATGTCTCCAGATGGATATACTATAGTAACTGGAGCAGGAGATGAAACATTAAGATTTTGGAATATATATCCTTAAAGTCTTGGTGAATCATCTAGCAATAAATGCTAATTGGTACCACAAAATATCAGTATACGTTGATGTGATTAACTTTATATACTCATTTTTTATTGATTATCATAATGCTATTTTTTAATTCTATTGATGAACAAATTAAAAATATTGAATATTAACATCAAACATATAGTAATAATATACATAACAAGGGATATTTCAAATTATTTTAGAAATAAAAATATATAGTTTTACATAAATATTATAGAGAGGAGTGTCTAAAATTTAATATTTATTTTGATAATTAATATTATTATTCTCAAATTCTTTATCAATCATACATATACTTATTTTTATTTAATAATTGAATAGATAAATAATACTTTAATTTGTAATTCAAACCAATCATGTCTTAATAGGATGAAAAATAGGATGAAATTGAAGATATCCAAAAAAAAAGGATATTATTAAGTGAAGAACACAAAGGATTTCAAGAAATCGCAGATTTATTTAACAAAACAATTATTTAAGGTAATCAATCTAGAGTTTAAAGTCCATTGTAGAATTCTGAAATCTATTCTAATCATATAAAATAGTTTAATGATTCTAACTAATCTAATATTGTATAAATTGACAAAAGATTTCTGCTTCCTGAAGATGCAAATTATATAACTTATCTATCAGAAAACTCCAAATTATTAAAGGAAAAATATGTTTAACATTGTTTGGATAGTGTACAATCTATCTAAGAATTTGTTTTAAATCAAAGATCAAGAAGAAAAAATAAATATAGCAATTTTGAAAAAAAAGATGTAATTGACCTACATTAAGTTAACAATCAAATTAATTAATAAAATATTAAGCAATGTCAATAACTCATTTCTGAAGTAAATAGTAGTAAAAAACTTTCAAATAGCAGCAATCCTAATATTTAAAAACTATATGAGGATCCTGAATTATAAGAAAAGTTTTCTATAGTTTCAAAAATATTAGAAATTTTAAATGAAAAAAAAAAAATATAATCAACATCTCAAAAAATTTCCATTTTAGAGGATGCCTTGATTTTATGTTTAGTATATTTGCAGTTATCCAANCAGTCAACATTAGATAATTCTTTGGAAATGTAATGGAATGAAAAGAATAGCTACTTTGGTTGGACATACTAGTCGGTAAGAATTCTATTTATTAATTTACTAGTGTTCTCTATTTAGCAATGTCTCCTGATGGATATACTATAGTAACTGGAGCAGGAGATGAAACATTAAGATTTTGGAATATATATCCATAAAGTCTTGGTGAATCATATAGCAATAAATGCTAATTGGTACCATAGAATATCAGTATACGTTGATTTGATTAACTTTATATACTCATTTTTTTTATTGATTATGATGATGTTAATCTTTTTTCTCTGGTTCAACATACAAATGATCATAAATAACAGCATGATTTGTAAGTTCATCTAATAGTTACATTAATCCTTTTTTTCTAAAATTACAATATTTCCCTAAAGGTTATGGTTTCTCAATATCTATTGCTAAAGCTATATCTTTTCTCATTTAGAGAATAGTTGTTGTTTCAACTACAAATTAATCAACAATAAATTCTATTGGTTCTATTTTCTAATAATTATAATTATATTATAATTACTGGTTGAATAAGACCGCAACTAACTGTTTATTTCCAATCAAATTCAACTTCTGAATAGACTATAACTATGAGTAAACTATTTGAGTTTATGTCTTTTTGAAATGAAAATACTAACCTATTATTTATAACATTAGGAGTGACTCTATAATATTATATTTAATTACTATTATTTTGTATGTCTTTAAATATCATCATATGCCATAGATTTAATAGAATCAATTATTTTTCGAGATTAAAGAATGCTATATGAATAACTTCCGAAAATGGTCAAATAACTTGGTTGATCTGCACTTTTCTTAAAAACATCAATATTTTCATAGATTTCTGTTGATGTACTTACTTACTTGATAGCATCTTTAATTTAACCAACCATAGCAACAGGATTGCTTTAAAGTTATTTTATTAACTCTTTATTTGCCATTCCAAAATAACAATTTGATATTATTCTGTTATATAATCCTACTTTCTCTGTCTTAAATTTTGTAATTTTCTCTTATAATTCAAAATTAATTGCATCTAAAGCAACCATATTCTTTTCCATATTATATAAATATTTGTATACTGATATTAATCTATCTTAAATCAATAATCTCAATTCTCTTAATACTTTTTTGCTTTCTTTAGTTCTTGCTAATTTAGAATCTTCAACTACTTCATCTGATTACTCTATATTAAATTAGACCTTTTCATCAAATGCCTTCTCAAATTCTTTCAATTTTATAATATTTCCAAATAATCCTTATTCTTTTTACATAGCTGCCTTCTTCTTTAAAATTGTTGTTACATCACCTTAACCAGCCAAAAATTCATCAAAATCTTTTTTATTTTTAAAACATGATACAATCCTTATTAATAAAGCAGATAAACTAACAGGATTCCATTAATCAAATCTATGAAATGGTGGTTAATCTTCAGTTCTTAAAAATGATTCTATGGCATAACATCCACATTCACTACAATGTCTTAATGATAAGGACATTGTAGTATAATATAATTATCTAGTTTTCAATTTAACTTAAATTCTTTCTGAACCAGTACTTTCATCTGGTTCTGCTTCTGTTAAATAACTAATAGGTTAAGTCTTGATACTTTTGGCAAATTATTCCATAAGATCTTAATTTTCTGCTTAAACATATTTTATTTTTTATATATTTTCTACTATACATTTAGTAGCCCAATAAATTGATTTAACTCTTGGAATTATAATGTCATCACTATATTCTATTGCATGAAAATATATATCCTTTATTTTAGTTACTTCATTCTTTGATATATATTTGCTTGCCATTTGAATTTTCTCTTACAATTTAATATTTTGTATTCCATTTGTTGTACTTGCTCCATAAGCTATAGCATTAAATGCTGTGATTCTTCTTGGAGCATGAATTCCAAATATTTCAATGATATTCTACCATAAAGGTACATTTTCAGGTTCTTCTTCTTTATCATTAATAAAATAATCAAACATTTCCAAAAAACATTTAATATTCAAAAAATTTGATTCAGCTTTTTAATCTATTGTTTTCTCTGATTCTTATTTTTAAGCTTATGCTATAAACATATTCTAATAATTTTGATAATATAACCCAAGCATACGACATTAAATCTATTCTATTTGTTAATTATTCTTTTAAAAAAAAGGTTTAACTACTTCATAAGTTTTTAAAAATAATTCTCTTACTGCAACTGGAACATCATATGGTCCTCTTTTATCTTAAGGCAAAAAGTTTGTTAATTTTGGAGCAAATTCATCCCAAAATTCTTTAATGAATATAACTCTTTCTTAAAAAAATTTACTTTCTTATGGTCCATCAAATTTAGGCAATAATACATCACATCCAGGATTTTAAATATGATTCTAACTAAAAACTAATGCCACAGGCTTAAGATTTTTAGCTATGCCACTTGTTAATTTATTTTCTATACTTTTAATAGAAGTTTCTATCAATTTTAAATTAGTTGTTATACATTTACCAAATTATCCTTAAAATTATATAAATAAATTAGTAAAGGCATATAAAGAGGGTTCATTTGTCTCTTTTTATGTGAAAATCAACTTTTTACTTGTTAAACTGTTTAATTCTAAACGAAGTATTTGAATCAATAAATTAATTAATATACGATATTTTCGTTTATCATTAGAAATATCTCCAAAAGTATCCATTACTAAATCAACAAAGTTTTTCTTGCTTAATCCTCCATGCTTAAAGATATTTATAAAATAACAAGGGTGTAATTGAAGCATAGTAAACATTATTTTATAACATAATGAACAATTATAATATGCTTCATGCTTTTTTTACTTTTTCTCTTTCTTTTTATCCTTGTCCTTCTCTTCAGTTTTAAATTATATATCAAAAGGTTTACGTTAAACTTTGTTGATAATAGTTAACATGGCTTCATCTTTAAATTTCTTAAATTCTTATAAATGTATATCTTTAATTTCTTTATAGAGTCTTTGATTTTCTTAATCTAATTCTAATATTGCATCATAGACATCATCAACAGGTTTTTCTTCAAAAAAATTGACCCGTCTTGAAGTGGTAACTTTTTCTGGATCATCTCCTCTATCAACATATGAACATCTATAAATATCTGGTTTTGATTCATTAATAAATTGATCCCAAGAAGATTTACAAATCAATTTACCTTCTTCAATCATCCCTAAAGATGCACCAATAAAAACTCTTTTACTTAATGGTCTCTTTGATAATTTTTTATTTGGTAATTAAAATCCATCAGTATTCGTACCTGCTTTTTTTTAATCTTTTCTTTTAAATTCTTCTTCAAATTCATCTTCATCTTCATCAACCTTATCTGCTTACAATTACATTAATTAATATTATTTGAAAGTGTAATCAAGATATTAATTGATAAACTAAAGAGGTTCAGGTTTAACGAACAAAGTTTTCAAAGTTTTGAAATTTTCTTTTTTTACTTATTATTAATTTTTATTTTGTAATTACATTTCATTTTCCTTATCTGGATTTATAAATTCATAACCTAAACCTAATCTACCAGTCATTCCATCATAACCCCAAGAGAACAATTCCTTTTTATCTTAATTTTCTGTTAAAGCAACAGCATGATTGAAACTGCAACTAACAGTTGTGAATTAAATATCACATAAGGGAGTATTAACAATATTGGTCATAAGGACTTCAACATATTTTTCTCTTTGTGCAGCATTTGCACATTGATTTTTTAATTTCTCTTAGAAATCATAATCAAACAAACCCCAGACAAACACTTTGTTCTATTTACTAATTGCCATATTATAACGATCTCCCAAACAAAGATTTTTGTATTTCCTAGTTGCCAAATCGTTATGCTTAATAGGAGATACAATATAATAGGGTTCAGCCTCTTAATCTTTATCTGATTTCAAATGCTATTTATCATCAGTGTCATCTTCAGGCTTAGCAATTCCCAAATAAGAACCAACTCCCCATACAACTATTTGATCATCAATCGTCAATGCTCCAGAATGATTAGTTCCTGCAGATACATCTTTAAATGAATATTTTGTTTGTAATAGTTTAGGATAATATTGATTATCTAAATTACCATGACCTAATTTTCCTCCATATCCATTACCCCAAGTATATATGACATATTTTTAAGAATTGTCTTCTTAATTCTTTTCATTTGCTTTTGTCTTAATAACTCTCTCATTATACTTTTTATCAACCACTAATGCCATCGAATGATGAGGACCAACAGCTACTTTAGCAACATCAAAAATAAAAGGAACTTTCTATGTTTATAATACAACTGAGTTCTTGGGTCCCAATCCTAATTTCCCATCTACTGGAGAACCAACTGCATAAAGTGATCCACCTTCATCTAATATTAATGTATGATCTTCCCCACATGAAACTTATTTGACCATAAATCCTTCTAGATCTGTCAACATAGATGGAGTTTCAACAAAATCACTTACAAATCCTAAACCTAATTAACCTTTGTCATTTTTGCCCCAAGAATAAATATTACGTCTATTTTCTACAACTACAACATATTCTAATCCTGTTGCTAAATAAGTCACTCTTTTATTTTCTCTAATTGAAAATGTTAATACTTAACTAGGATAAGAAGTATCTGCAATTGTTTCTTAAATAAAAGGACCAACAAACTTAGTTCTTAATTTTACTTATTCAATAATTTATTCATCTTTTAAACCATGTTACATACATTTATTACTACCCCAAACCCAAACTTCACCTGCATCAGTCAAGGCTACTGTATGAAATGCTCCACATTTTACATCAACAATATATGAAGAAGCCTTGATTTCTTTCTGTAATTTATTAATGAATTCAGTGCAATGCATACCAAAGAAACAAAATTCTTCATTGATATTTTTAGGTTCTATTAATGATTAAAGTAAATCTGGTTTAATAGTATTCAAAACTTCATTTAATTTATTTTAAGCCATTTCTTCTCCCTCATCATCATCTCCTTATTTATAATCATCATTCATAGAATTGTTAGTAAGATAATTCTTAGGTAATAATTCAGCTTAGAGATCTCTACCTAAAATTCCTTTAAAAGGTAGACCAAATGAAATAATAGATCCACTTTATAATAAAGCTAATCCATAATGGTAGGATAATGCTAATTAATAAATAAATTATTATTTAGATTTAAAGTAGTTAGTATCAATTCTTTAAGGTTCTGGATAATTACTTCCAAATTCATCTTTTATACCTAATCTACCTTTTGAATTAGATCCAAATGCAAAAGTTAATCTCTCTAATGTAGTTATAAATGTTGTATTTCCACCACATTTAGCATAAACTGCATAAAAATTTTAAATAGAATGAACTTTTACAGGTTCCCATCTATCATTAAAGTCTCCAGTACCTAATTAACCATTCTTATTAAATCCAAAAGTATGTGCATATCCATCAGTAGTTGTACATGCTGTATGCATTGCTCCACATGATACATATTCAACAACCTTTCCTACAACAGATCCAGCATCAACACTCATTGGAACATTAGAACTCTTATTAGTACCATGTCCCAATTATCCATATGTACCAACTCCCCATGTAAATAATGATCCTGTTCCTTCAGATATACTGGCAGCATGAGATGGACCAGCACTAATAAATTTCATTCTTATTTTATCAAAATCTATTCTTGTTGGTCTTTATTAATCAACTTACATTGGTAAACCCAAACAACCTGTTGCACCTTCTCCCCATGAATATACTGATCCATATATATCTAATGCTAATGTATAATTTGCTCCACATGAAATTTAACATACTTTAGAGATACTTTCTACAACTCCTTTCATTCTAAAACATTCTTCTTATTCATTATAATCATCTTCATCATCTTCTTCTTATTCACCTTCTTCAATTTCTTCTTAAGATTATTCTTTATCTGTCATTCTTCCTTATTAACCAAATTCATCACTACCACTTGAAAAAATAACACAATCATCATAACGTAGAGTTTTAAAACCTTAATCATAATTAAAGCCTTCCTCCATAGACTATGAATTTTTAAAGATGATTGTAAATTATTCTTGACTGCATGCCAAAATCATACTGTGTTAATTACCACAAGCAACTTATAAAGGAACATATGGTTTTTATTTATGTTCTAAATATATTTTTACTGGAGAAGGTTAAATTTCTGAATCAATGCTTTCTGGTTTTCCTAATGCTTAAAATTCATTGCTTCCCCAACCCCATAATTAAAATGTTTATGGAGCTGTAGTTTTATCTCCTTCACTTTGTATTGCTAAACAATGATTTACTCCTGCTGCCAATCGAGGAAACAATAAATCAGGATTAATTCGATTATTTACTTATTATTTCATCATTTATAATAAATTATTATTATAATTATACTAAATTACATTCAAATTATTATACTTTTTATTTATCATCATATTATAATTGAACAGTTAAATAAAATAAAATTTTTTTATTGAAATCAATCATGTTATAAAAGGAGGAAAAATTAGAACAGATTGAAATTTAAAAAAAACAAAGTTCATAATAAAAAGAAGAACTAAAATAATTTTAAGAGATTAAAGATTAGTTAAACTAAACAAATATTTAAAGTGAGCCATCAAGAATTTAAAGTCCATTATTGGGTTTTGAATAAAATTCTAATCCTTAAGACTAGTTCAATAATAATAATAATTCTACTCAATCTAATATTGTGTAAATTGACAAAAGATTTTTGCTTCCTCAAGATGCCAATTATATAACCTATTTATCTGAAAACACAAAGCTATTAAAGGAAAAATATGTTTAACATTGTATGGATAGTTTATAATCCATTTAAGAATTTGTGATAAATTAAGGATTGAGTAGACAAAAAAAATAAAGTAATTTTAGACAGAATGATCAAAGTTCTAATAAAAAAAATAAACATATACACATTAATGATTTAAGTTTATAAAATTCTGAACAATTTCAATAACCAAATTTCTAAGAAACCAGTTAAAAAAAATAATCAATTAGTAGTAGTAAAGATAATATTCAAAAAATTAAAGAAGACCCTTAATTTAAAGAGAAATTTTCCATAATTTAAAAAATCCTTGAATATTTAAAACTATTTGAAATATAATCATCCACTAAAAAAATATCAATATTAGAAGATGCTTTGATAGTGGGTTAAGTATTTTTATAATTATCAGATCAAAGAAAAACCTTACAAGAATATTATATCGATATATAGAGAAACTATAATTATTAGAGATCCTTCTCAGCTTTTTAAACAAGGTAATTTTTTATTATTAGATTTATATTAGAATTAAAGTTCAACGTAATTTATATAAAGAGTGGACTTTAGAAAATCTTGAGTAACTATTAAAAGTTCTTTAAGATTACCCACAAAAAGCACTTTAAGATCTTACATTAATTTAAAATAACAATATCAAAATTCCTAGCTTAGATTGATAATTATATTTTTTTCATATATTTTAATACCTTTCTTATTAAATAAAAAAACATTTTAATTTTAAATCAACAAAAAGTAAATTCTATTCATAAATTCATTTTTTATTTTAATCGATAAAGTGAAAATAATCTATTATAAATATATATTATTATGTAATCAAGAATTAATTGTCAATAACACTCAAAAAAAAAGATATAATATTAAGAACTTCTTAATATTATATATAGAAATATTGAATATTTTAAATTTTAATTTAAATGTATAATTTTATGCATTAAATTTAACAAGCCTAATCTTAAAATAATAATTAATGACATTATTCATATATATATATAATACTCTAAGAAAAGGATAGTTTAAAAATATCAACTTATATATATTGTATAAAATATAAATAATTATATTAAATGTCATAACAATTTTATAATAAATACAGACATTTATTCGAAGATGAAATGTTTGATAAAATGAAGCATGGTTATGATATGTAAATAGCACCTCCATAATAATAAATTCCATAGTTTAAATTTTAATAGCAACAACCTAAAATTCAACCACAATAATCTCCTATAATATAGAAATCACCATTTAAAATTGAGCAATCTTATCCCTAATAAATACAACCTTAGGTTTAATCTTTTTAAACTTCATTGCAAGAGAGATCAACATAAAGTAGAAAGAATTTTAATGATGAAAGAATAAGAAAATAAGTTATGCAAGATAATATTTTTAAATAACCAACATTAGAATAACGTTAAGGAGATCGAATTTATTAATAAAATTAACCACATTAAGTTTAACACTAAGAATAACCACTTTAAGAGAGAAAATAATAATTATAAACTTACAATGTTTTCTAAGATTAAGACATTTTAGATGATTATGCTCCTAAGAAATAAAAATAATTAGTTTAGACTACTAATGAAAACTCATAAATAAATAATATTCATAAGGTATATCTCTAGAGATTGTAAATTTAAAATATATTCTTAGAAATGATCTTGATTATATAAGAAAAAAATACCTTGATCCAAAACAATTAGCTAGAGATATTGATCAAAACAATCCTTATAAGGCTGCTTTGATGTAGCGTATTTTAGCATAGATGAATGGAAATTAAAGAAAAAGCAGATTGAAAGATGCTTTAAAAAATTGATTTATAATTTATTTTACTCAAAAATATTATAGATTATAAGCATATATTAAAGATGTTAAATAAATACTGATCTATAAGTTTATAGCTCATTCTTTAGCATCATCATTCTTTTATTTTGTAACTTTAGCAGAATTAATAGCTATTATTATAATATATATAAATACATAAGACTTTTTCTCCTTATTTATCAATATCAGAATGTTACTTTGGATCATATGGCCATTTATCAATTAATTCTAGAGGATTTTCAAGATAACTACCTTCACCAAAATTAGCCTTCAATCCATATATTTTACCCTATAAATATAACAATTATAATTTACCCAAAAAGATGGATGGCCTAGATCATTAACAACTCTTAAGTAAAATGTATTAGGAATAATATGTTAAGCAATGAAAATCTTTTCAGTTGGTCCTTTAGGAGTGAGTACATAAGCTCTAGCATGATGATTCTCATATCCAAAATACACAAAAGTCCATTAATGTTCTTTAATATCAAAAGTATGAGACAATGGTTCAAATGATGGATCTTTAATTGTGTAAGTACTGGCCATCAATTTATCTGTTTTTGTAAAGAGAGCTAAGGTTCTATCTCCAATAAACTTATCATCAGCTGCAAGATCTGGTCCATTAGTAGTTAATCTAACTAAAGCAGTGAAATCATTTTCCATTTCAGGAAGTAACATGGCATTTTGGAACCAGAATCCAATACTATAAGATTACATTTCTGCTTTGTCTGTAAATTCAAAATTCAATTTATCCTTTTTAGAATCAAGATCATCTTGATTAGTTGTATCCAATAAAGATACTGGCCATTTGAAATCCTCTGCTTATTAAGGTGTAATTGGTAATTTTCTGTGTAATTTATGAATCATCTCTACAACTTTTTAAGATTCACTGATGTAGCTTCCAGCACCTAAAAATATTCTTGGATCATAGAACCATCCATGGAATGCTTTATATCCAAATTCATTAGCTCCTAAAACAAAATGAGCATAACCAGTTAAAACTTGATGAGTCACTTCAATATTTAAATGGGCAGCCTTTTATTGATCCTTAAATAAGACCATACCATAGAAATTCTTATTCTTATAAGCAGCATAAACATAAGTCCATTCACCTTCAATATTTTCATAAGGTAATTATGCATCAACTGCATTAGTAGGTTTAGATGCATCATATGTACTAAATTCATAATTTCCTTTTGTTAAGAAGGCAGATAAGACTCTATTACCTAATTCACTCTTATCTTAATATTGACGAGTACTTGAGAATCTGAATATAGTGTGAACATCTGCTCTATCAGTTAAAGTAGTAGGGAATGCTATTAACCATCTTGTCCAAACACCAACTGCATATTCATCAACTGATTCTGTTTCTGAAGTAAATGTTTATTCTACCTTTTCAGGTGCTTAAATAATTCTATCTTCTTTTTCAAACCATAAATATTTTTAATTAATCTGAATATGTCTAAAGTTAGGTAAAGTATCTTCATAACCTTTCTTCATTACATCAACAAATGCTCCTTAACCATATTGAGCTACCCATTTTTATAATTCTCCTTAAAATCTTCTACTATGTGGATCCTTACCTACATAGATTCCTATAAAATGAGGAACAAAATGTTAAACTCCTTTGAAAATAACTGGTTTATCTTCTTCAAATAGATGTAATAAAGTTTGAACTTCACCAGCATTTTCATTATAAGCCATATATAAATATGCCCATGCTTTCTTTGAATTTCCAAGTTCAACTTTCTCCTCTAAGAATTTAGCCTCATTCCAATCTTTAAGTCCTTTCATTGTATATGTACTCAATTTAACTGTATCACTTGTACATATTTAAGCATGTAATGCTCTATCACCCTATGATTTACGATCACTTAAATGTTCTTTATCATTATTAGTAATTCTAAATAATATTTAGCAAGGTGAATTAATTTCTCCTTCTTTCTTAACTTAAGTTTCAGCAATCTTAAACCAACCAGAAATAGCATATTCTCCTACACCACTCCAAGTATCTCCAGTACTCTCACTTCCTTCATTATTATCACTTTCACCAATTAATTATTGTTAACCATGTTTTTGTTTATGGATATAATCTACAGTTAATTCTTAAGGTAAAGCAAAACTAGTATCAATAGATTTCATTAATTCTTCACCTGATAAAATGAATGATCCAACTCCAAAGTGAGCTGCTACTTCAGTAAATAGACCTTAGAATGGAGCTACATCCTTTTCTCCTCCCAAAATTAAATGAATATAATCTCCAAGTGGTTTATGTAATAATTTTTCATTTGTAGCATGTTTAATTTCTTCTCCATCAAATACAAAGTAGTTTGCTTATTACAATTATCTCTTATAACCAAGATATATATAATGCCATCTTCCTTCCAAATGATTATAAGGAATAGTGCTTATTTCATTAGGAGCATCATCATTCAAATCATAAGTACCAAATTAATAATTATCTAAGACAACCAATGCATTTAGAACTCTATCTCCAATAGCAATTTTTCCATGATCTACTTCATCATTATAAGTTAATCTTAAGATCTACATTTCAGATGGAGTATGCCATTATCTCTCTGGCCATGCTTACAAGAATCTAGTCCATAAACCAACAGAATATTCCTAAACACTCTCTATTTTTCTATCAGGTTCAGAGAATGTAATTTTCATACCTTATTTTTCTGGATCCCCTGAAACCAATGTTATAGTATCATCTGCTTCCCAATCGAATTTACTATCAGAACTAAACAATTTAGGTGCTGCCAAATAAACTTAAAGAGTGTTGAAGTTATCTTCTCTATAACTGCCATCTCCTATATTCAATATAACTTAAGCTAATCTACTATCGAATGGTTTTGTCATTGCATCCTTTACTAAGAACAACCAATAGTTAGTGGAAACAGCATGTAAAGCTTATTCTAAACCTTTATGTTCATCATCATCAGCTAATAAATAGTAACTAATTTTCTAATGATGTTTGGAATAACCAAAATATACAAATGTCCAAACTTCTAATTATTGTTATGGGATCATTGCTTCATATGTGTTCTACAAAGATAGGGGATTTAAATTATAAGTACTGAATTCTATACCATCTGTATGGAATAGAGCCAAAGTTCTATCTCCTATTTTTTATGCATCTCCTAACGAATCTGGATTTGAAGAAGTGAATCTATAGATAAGTTATTAAGTTTTGACTGGTAATTTGAACCATCTGAACCATAATTAAATTGAATATTCTCTAGCCTCTTCATTTATGTGTGTAATGTGTTAATCCTCTTCGATCTTTGTAACATCATGTTTTCCAATCAAAACCTCATACTTTTTGGATGGAGCCAAGATATCAGGCATAACATCTTTATTTTTAATTCTTTATAACAAACCTTATTTGTTATCAATATAGGCACCTGGACCAAGATTAAATCTGATTGTGGTTATTTATCCATTAAAATTTGAATAATATTTTCCTGCATTACCAACAGTCAATTACAAATAGTTATTTAATAATGAGTGCATCACATCCATTTGAATGCCTGATGTTGTATCTTTATAATGAGTGAATGCCATTGCATGTCCTTAGGTTTAAGAAATTCTTTTAAAACTGAAATAAATATATGTCCATTCACTTTCAGAGTCAATTTAATAAGGAATATCTCCAGCCACATTATTTGATTTAGTGATGACATCATATGTTCCAAAATGATAGGATTGTTTTCCTAATAAAACCAAAAGAACTCTGTCTCCTGGATTATCAAAATCTTTATAATCTTGATTGCTAGTAAGTCTGCTTAACCCCATTAATTATGGTCGACTATATATAGTATTCTTATTTGCAAAATATTAGAATTTAACCCAATAGCCATAACCATATTCACTAACACCATGTAAATGTAACTTATCACTTTATTAGAATTCTATATGTAAAGGCACTTCACTACTTTATGATGAACATTCTAAAATAGTCTCTTCATGATGTGCTTCTTATCCAGCTTATTGTAACTTAATATGATCAGTTCCACTTATGAATCCAAAATGAACTTTAATATTTTCATTTTCATCAAATCCTCCCTCTCTGAATGCTCCATCTCCAATATTAATAACCCATGTTTTAATTTGACCAATAAATTATGTATATTGTTATTTCTCTTAGATTAATACTGAGAACACAGCCAAATAAAAATGATTAACTTTTTCTTATCTAAATTCACTTTCTGTAAATGTATATTTCAAATAACCATAAGTTTACTGTTTCTATTAAGAAAATCCATAATAAATATATGTCCATTAATCAGCATACTCTCCATAAGCTTCATCTTAAGTAACTAATTTGTATTCACCTAAATTTTGATTATAAGTAACGAAAGTAAATGCTTGATCTCCTCGTATTATTTGTAAAGTTTCTTCATTTTTACCATCTAAATCATCTAATCTCTTTTAAGCCATTGTTATGAGATGAGCAACTTTGCCAGTAACTAATGGTCCACTCCATCTGACCCATCCAGAAATAGAGTACTCTTCTGCTCCTTAATACTTGTCAAATTCAAATTAAATTGGTTCCTCCTTAAGTTATTAAGGAGCTCCAACTAATTATAATGTTTATCTGGCTACTGGATGAATCTAAGCCTTTTCTGGAAGAGTATTTTAAGTAAAGATTTTCAAAGTTTCAGATGTGTGAATGAATGATCCAGGTCCAAATGAAAATGATATTCTTGCCATTTCCCCATTGAACAATGGAGCTGATGTTTTACCAACAATGAATTCTACATACTCAAGTAAATAATCATGGAAAGTATCAAAGATAACTTCATCAACTTCACCATCAACACCAAATTAAACATAGCCCTTAGCTAATCCCTAATCACCATGTCGAATATATCCAANGCATGTCCTTAGGTTTAAGAAATTCTTTTAAAACTGAAATAAATATATGTCCATTCACTTTCAGAGTCAATTTAATAAGGAATATCTCCAGCCACATTATTTGATTTAGTGATGACATCATATGTTCCAAAATGATAGGATTGTTTTCCTAATAAAACCAAAAGAACTCTGTCTCCTGGATTATCAAAATCTTTATAATCTTGATTGCTAGTAAGTCTGCTTAACCCCATTAATTATGGTCGACTATATATAGTATTCTTATTTGCAAAATATTAGAATTTAACCCAATAGCCATAACCATATTCACTAACACCATGTAAATGTAACTTATCACTTTATTAGAATTCTATATGTAAAGGTACTTCATCACTTTATGATGAACATTCTAAAATAGTCTCTTCATGATGTGCTTCTTATCCAGCTTATTGTAACTTAATATGATCAGTTCCACTTATGAATCCAAAATGAACTTTAATATTTTCATTTTCATCAAATCCTCCCTCTCTGAATGCTCCATCTCCAATATTAATAACCCATGTTTTAATTTGACCAATAAATTATGTATATTGTTATTTCTCTTAAATTAATACTGAGAACACAGCCAAATAAAAATGATTAACTTTTTCTTATCTAAATTCACTTTCTGTAAATGTATATTTCAAATAACCATAAGTTTACTGTTTCTATTAAGAAAATCCATAATAAATATATGTCCATTAATCAGCATATTCTCCATAAGCTTCATCTTAAGTAACTAATTTGTATTCACCTAAATTTTGACTATAAGTAACGAAAGTAAATGCCTAATCTCCTCTGATTATTTGTAAAGTTTCTTCATTTTTACCATCTAAATCCTCTAATCTCTTTTAAGCCATTGTAATTAGATGGGATACTTTGCCAGTAACTAATGGACCATTCCATTTAACCCATCCAGAAATAGCATATTCTTCTGCTCCTTAATACTTGTCAAATTCAAACTAAATTGGCTCCTCTTTAATTTATTAAGGTGCTCCTACTAATTGTAATGTTTATCTTGCTACTGGATGAATCTAAGCCTTTTCTGGAAGAGTATTCTAAGTAAAGATTTTCAAAGTTTCAATTGTGTGTATAAATGATCCAGGTCCAAATGAAAATGATATTCTTGCCATTTCACCATTAAACAATGGAGCTGATGTTTTGCCAACAATGAATTCTACATACTCAAGTAAATAATCATGGAAAGTATCAAAGATAACTTCATCAACTTCACCATCAACACCAAATTAAACATAACCCTTAGCTAATCCCTAATCACCATGTCGAATATATCCAAAGTAGACATAATTCCAATGTCCTTCTAATTAAGAAAATTCAATATCATCTTTCAACTCCAATGTTTAAAATTCATAAGAATCTGGAGTTAAAGATATTGATAAAGTATTATCTTTAGGAGTATTTGGTCTGTTAGCATTAGATCTTACTAATTTACCATCAATAGATTCAATAACATAACCTTAAGTACCCATTCTAGCAATAGTATGTATTGGAGCTCTCTTATTCAAATATTTAGGCAATGTACTCAACCATCTAGTCCATAATCCAAAACCATATTCACTCTATCCATTAATTCTCATTCCTTCCTCATTATGAATAATAATCTTATCCACAACATTTTCTGCAGCATCATATGCTACATATTTGGCTTAATTAGCATCTCCTGCAATATAAGTGACTGGTTTACCAACTTAATAGACTCCCATAACTCCTTCACCATAATTAAATGTCATTTCAAATCCTAATCCTTCTCTGTATGCTCCTGTTCCAAGATAAATACCAACATATCCAATCATACCATTAAATGGAGATATAACATTATCACCACCTAAAGTAACACTCAAACTGTTGACTAGTTTGTGTTAGATACCTTCATATTTGATTTCTCCTACTAGTCCTGGTTTAATCACTGCACCATAGGCACGTCCTCCATCATTATCATATCCAAAATATACATAAGTCCAAATGAATTCAACACTTTCAACAGTCTTTGATAAATAAGGTTATCCTTTAGCTCTATTACCCTTAATTGTATAGGTATTAAAATATATTGTACTCTTAGCACCACCACCATAAGTATGATGTATTTCTAATGCTCTATCACCTAAAACTCCTTTTCCTGCAGTTTTAACTTTGTTTGATCTCAAATTAATTATCTAAAAGGTATTTGGTTCATCCACTTTTAAATCATCTATCCATCTAAACCATAAACCCACAGCATATTCTTCTATAATTAATTAAGATTCTTGTGGATCAAAATGATATTGTTCCCCTTTATCATTTCCATTCAAATGTTTAGGTTTCTATATAACAGTTTCATCAATCATTGCAGGTACACTTTAAGGAGGATTACTCAAAGTTTTCAAGACTTCATCTAATGCTTCATCTCCATCTACAAAAGCTGGAGCATCAATATCAAAGAAAATATTGGCAAATTGTCCATTTAATCCATTATAACCCAAGTGCTTACCACCAAATATGATTTTTATATATGAAGGTGGAATGTGTGTAGCCTCTATTTCTACTCTATAGATTCCATTGCCTTCCCCATAACTCACAATATAACCCACAGCTTTTCTTAATGGATTACTGTAAGAGAACATAACAAAATACCACATACTATCCATATTTTCATTTAAAACTACTGCTTTATCTTTTGTCTTCAATTTCTCACTAGTATCATATGTGCTGAATACAAAAGAATTATCAAACATGAATACTGCCAAAGCTCTGTCTCCATAAAATGAAAAATCTTCATATTCCTCGTTTATGGTCATTCTAGATAAGAAATAGTATTCTCCATCTTCTCTAATATGCTCCTTAACTCCATGTTCTGCATATCTCACCCAATATCCATATCCATATTCAGAAGAGTCTTGAAGTAATGCTCTATCAATAAATTCAAATTATTCAGTAGGTTCACCATCAAAATCAGAATGCTAGTATTTTGTATTCACTGCTACAACTTTTCTTTCTTAAACACGACCTGAATTAGCTCTATGTTTTGGTGGTTAAAACTATGTTGGTTCATTTGGATTGGGATCTTCTCTTAATGATTATATTTTTAATGATCGATCATCACTAGACTTTTATTTTTTTTAATTCTTTTCATCATCTTAGTTTTTAGGTGCTTCTTTTTTGTGATCTTCATCTTATTTTTATTCACCTTCTTATTTCACTTCACCTTCTTATTTCACTTCACCTTCTTATTTCTATTCACCTTCTTCTTTTACTTCACCTTCTTATTTAACTTCACCTTCTTATTTCTATTCACCTTCTTATTTAACTTCACCTTCTTATTTAACTTCACCTTCTTCTTTCTATTCACCTTCTTATTTCACTTCACCTTCTACTTCACCTTCTACTTTTACTTCACCTTCTTATTTCTATTCACCATCTTATTTCACTTCACCTTCTTATTTCTATTCACCTTCTTCTTTCTATTCACTCTCTTCTTTTACTTCACCTTCTTATTTCACTTCAATCTCTTATTTCACTTCACTCTCTTCTTTTACTTCACCTTCTTATTTCACTTCACCCTGTTCTTTTTATTCGCCTTCTTATTTTACTTCACCCTCTTATTTTTAATCATCATTTTTATGTTCATCAACTTTTTCAACCTTTGATTATTCAATTTAAACATCTTTTTTATCATCCTAACTTTTAGATTCATTATCAACAACTATATCTTCATCCTTATCTGTTGTTTAATTATTGCCATCTTAAGTAGATTTTTAATCTAAATTTTCATCTGAAGCATCTTCTACCTTTGTTTCTGATTATGTATTTTATTTTTCCTATGTACTTGAAACTGATTTTTGAGTGGTTACTGTTTCTGAAGATTCTTATGATGATTCCTCAGTCGATTCTTTTTTATTTGTATCTTTTGTTTCGATGGTTTCATCAACAGTTTCTTCAGTCTTATTATTAGTGTTAACTTTAACTTCGGTAGTATCTTCATCAGCATTTCCATTTTTAGATTCATCAACAGTCACATTTTCTTTAGTTTCTGATTCAACTTATTTTAATGGTTTATCATGAGTTTCAACTATTACTTATTATTATTCTGTTTCCTTATTTTCTTGAGTTTCCTCTCCATTTTTTTATTCTTTAGATTCTCCTTCACCTTTAACTTTATCAGTATCTGTTTTTTCACTATCATCTTCATCATTATTTAGACCTTCAATCTTACTAACTTTAGCTGCCTACACTACTAATTCTGCCTCTTCTTATTAATTTTATTATTCATCAACACTCTCCTTTCCTTCACCTTCGATTTCATGTCCTAATGCTACATATTTCTTATTTCCTTTAATTTCTTCAACTATTTCTTTTGGCACTATCTTCTTAACTTATTTTTTTTATGGTTTTTTAGTTTCATCCTAATAAGTTGGATATGTATAATGCTAAGGTTCATGATAAATGTAATCAGGAGGAGTTTCAATATCTTCTTCTTCAAAATAATAATAAACTATTTCTTCTGGTTCTTCATCAAAATTTATCACTTCATCATCAGGATCATTATCTATAATTATAGTTGGTTTTTTTATTTCTTGATCACATACTCTTTTTAATGTTTGAATCTAACTTATCTTTTATCTCAAACCTTGAGTACGTTTTGCATATTAGCATTAATTTAAATATTAGTGTATTTATTCTTAAGTCTATCTCAAATGATCTATGATTTTATTTGCTAAAGCTATCTTCTCCTCATTTGCTAATTTAGATTCATAATTAATACTTTAAGTGCTATTTAATTAAGCAACATATTCAAGAGCATCTTCTACCTTACAAGCTGCCCATTTGTTTTATGTAAATATACTTTATAGTGATTTGCTCACTTTATTTTATATTTGCACTAGCATTGTTTAGTGAATCACTGATATTGTACCTTTGGCTTTTTCTACTATGCTTATAACTTAATTAATTATTGCAAGATCCTTGATTAATTGTTCTCTATTATCTATAATATCAACCCATCTTGCCAACTCTCCTATTATATATTCAAAATCAGTGTGGCAATTTAAATGAGAAACATCTAGATTTTATGCTTCAGTATAGGTCATCCCTGATATTTTATATAAATATACCTTGAGTTCTAAGCTCTGATGCTTCTATTTTCGTAGAGATAACCATAACCATCAACAACAAGAATGTTATTAAGGTTTTCTTCATTTATGTTAAAAATATATATACTTTAAACCGTTTTTTATTTGTTATTAAATTTTATTCTTCTCCAAATGTACATATAAAAGGTAACTATATTTTGATCAAAATCAAAATTCAAAAACATTACATCAGAATTCTCTTTCTCTCCTCTTTTATAAAAATTAGTCCAACAAATATATTATTATTTGCCAATAATATTATATTATGTTAACTTATAAAATTTTATAATATTTTGTAGTTAAATAATTAAACTATTCTGTTACTTTCAAACTTAAGTTATTAAAAATCAATTTTGACAAATAATAAAAAAATACAATTTTGTTAAATTATAAATTTATCAAAACCTATCAAATTAGTGAATAAGGTCTTAATTTAATATTGTAAATACAATTATAATAACTAAATATTAATTTTTTAATTTACAAAACAATTTCAATTTTAATCATCTAAAATTATTGATTTTTTTATCAAATATTCTATTTAAAAATACTTCATTCAGATTAAATTCATCCTAAACATTATATATTAAATAGCATTCATTAAAGACAAACTTGACAATTTAAATAATTATCAATCAAGTATAGCTTATATTACAACAAAATTATAGAAAATTTGGAATTTAAGTTCTTTAAATTTGATTCCAAATATTTCAATGCTGAAATAAAGATACTAATATTTTAAATAATATCCTTTTTGCTAAAAGTCTTCTTTATGAATACATCAAATATAAATTAATTTCTAACTTATTTATTATTTCAAGTTAAGGGTCTAATATAAAAAAAACTCAAAATATAATCAAGTATGTAAATAAGTTTATTAAATTAACTTCTCATTTTATCAAAGTTAAAACCTGATATGACTATCAAATTAAAAAATGGAAGAATTAAATATTTATATCTAGCTTAATATATATTATCTAATTATTATAGAGTAATTATATATCAGGATGTCTAGAGATTATTATAATTACACCTTTACTTCATCAATAAAATATTATTTTTCATCAATTTTAGAATATTTAAAGATAACTTATTTATTAATAGTATATTTTATGAATTCTGAAAAATGGTAATAAATATTGAATATTGAAAGCAGATCAAAAATCATCATATAACTTGACAACTCTATATAAATATAAATTTCTTTAATTCTAAGAATGTTTTTAGAGTTGTATTTAAGAAGTGATATAATTTTAGTTAAGTTCCTAAAGTTATGTTAGTTTAGTTTTAATTATAAAATAATTAATATATAAAATGAGACCAAAAGAATCAGATGTATATAAAAGAATTCGTTTATTGGGATAAGGATCATTTGGAAAAGCTTATCTTTGTGAATGTTTAAAAGATCACTCTTTGTGTGTGATTAAACAAATGGACATGAGATATTTAAATGATTAGGAAAAAAAAGTAATTTATTTATATATTTAAATCAGGAAACATACAGAGAATTCAGAATAATGTCTGAATTGAAGCATCCAAATATTATAAATTTTAGAGAAGTTTATAAGACTGTAAAGGGGAAATTATGTATAGTGATGGATTATGCTGAAGGTAATCATATATATAATATAAATTAGGTGGTGATTTAGCTTAAGTGTTAAAGAATACAGATGGATATATAGCAGAGTCTAGGATTTTGGATTGGTTCACTTAAATGTGTCTTGCAATAAAACATTGTCATGATCGTAAGATTATTCATAGAGATATAAAAACTTAAAATATGTTCCTAACAAAAGACATGAGAATTCGTTTAGGAGATTTTGGAATAGCTAGATTATTGAATAATACAAGGGACAAAGCAAAAACAATGGTTGGTACTCCCTATTATTTGGCACCTGAATTATTGGAAAATAAACCATATGGTTTTAAAGGTGATATATGGTCACTTGGAGTTATACTCTATGAAGTAATTCTAACAATAATTACATATAAGATGTGTGCTAAGACTCCTCCATTTACTGCTGAATCGTTAGCTTAATTAGCTCTAAAAATAGTGCGTGGTTAATTTTAAGCTATTCCAAATGTTTATTCATCCTAATTAAGAACGTAAAACTAATCTTATAATTAAACAAAGATAGCCTTGTGAATTAGCTTTTAACAGTTAACCCTGATAAGAGACCTGCTGTTCACTAAATACTTAAGATGCCCATCATAACAAATAGAATTAAGAACTTTTTATCAGAAACTATGAAAAGAAGTGAATTCGATCACACAATTCTCCATAACCAACAGATACATTTATCTGATACAACTATTCCTTTAATTGATGATTAAGATGCAAAAGGAGACTTAATAGAGTAAATAATTTCAAAAGAGAATCAAATAAAGTAATTGCCTGGTATTAAGAGTCCCCCCTATAATTTATAAAAGTAAAGAAAGAATAGTGATTTAAAGAAATTACCAGAAATTAAATTATCAAAACCTGAGAGACCACCAATAACAAGATAATAAACTAGTCGATAATAATTGAATCAACTTCCTAGTTAAAGAGTTTAACCATCTACTCCTGAAATAGGCATTAATAATAAACAAAAAAATGGACGTTTTATAACAAAAGAAAGTCCTGATTCATATTAAGGTTCAGATTAAATTTTAGAAGAAGGAACTAAAAATAGTGAATAAGAAAGTCCTAAATTCTTTAAAAAAAATATTGAAATTAAACCTCATATAAAAAATATTAAGGGTCTAACAAAATTAGATTAAATTTAGAAAATTAAACTTGGATTGAAATCTGATGATGATGCTAAAAAACCTATTTATAGAGTTCATGCATAACCAAAAATAGTTGAATAATAAAAATAGAAGGAACGAAAGGTATCTGAAGAAATTGTTTCATATTATTTAAAATAAGAAGATTCATTGAATTAATAAAATCAATTAGAAAAAATTTCAGAAACTCCAGAATAAAAATTACTCAATTAATCAACCATAAGTGATTTTTAAAATTCAGAAGAAAATATTGATAATAATAAAAAATAAAGTATAATGACACCTGCTTTTGAATTGCATATAGAAAAATAATTTCAAGCACTTGATATTATTTCAAAGAAACCAATAAAAATAATCAAAGAGTCAATTTCAAAAACAGATGAAGAGAAAAATAAGAAAAAAATATACAAAATCATTTATAGAGATCCTTTTTTAAAAAAACCTAAAACATAGAAACGAAACAGCGAAGAAGATATGAAAGAAATGATAAATGAACTGAAAAATGTTCTTGTAAAGAAATTACATATATTAAATAGTCGGATTAATAAAAAAAATCAGAAGAACCAAATCTAAAAAATGAAGTTGAATCTGAAGATTCTAGAATCTATTCTGAAGAATCAAGCGAAGATTTAAGAGATGATGCTGATACTCTGCCACCAAAAACATAAGTTAATACTTGGATGTAAAGTAATACTGAAGGTGTTAATGTATCACAATCATAACCAGAACCAAGAAGGAAAATTAATAGTAATTAAAGAAGCTTGAAAGACAAACTAGTTGATGAATTAGGACATCATTTTGAATAATTATTTAGATTAGCTAAATTATGCTCACATTTAGAGGATTTGGGAAAACAACACATAAAAATGGCTATTATGGATAACCTTATAATTGATGAAAATAGAGCAGAAACTTGTGCAACTCTCTTGGTTACATTAGCCACAATTGGTTACTGATATTTATAAACTAATAATAGTTTTTAAAGTTTTGGTTTAATTGTATTTTCAATGCAAGCACATATATATACATTTTTTTGATAATTTTCTTAATAATACTTTTATTCTCATTTAATAAAATCTATTACATAATTCTACAAAAAGAGTCAGCTCTCAAAATAGTCAAGCAAGGATGAGTTCTTGTTGAAGAAATGAGTAATTAATATGACAAAATATTTTGATTTATCATTATTGTTAAAAATAGAGTATTGAGATAAATAAAGAAAAATATATTAATTTATTAATAATTAAAATAGAAGCAAAATAAATATCATGATTGACAAAGACTTTATGCAAGATCTAGAAGATGAGGAAGAGTAATAAATTGTAGAGGCTAAATAATAAATTGAAGATGAGCCTACTTGTTCTTTACTGAAAGATAGCAAATTTCTTTAGCATTATCAAAGAGTCTAAGAAGTATCTGCTTATCAAATCTAAGATGAAACAATAGATGCAAGTCATGAAGAATATCATCTAATATTAAGATCAAATGAATATAGCACAATAATAGATTAAGAGTATTCATTTTGAATAAAATAAGGATTTTGAATATTCACAAATAATTGAAGGATGTATATCATAAGAAGTTTCCAGAATTGGAAAAAATTATCATAAACCCAATAGAGTATGTTAAGATAGTCCAATTAATTCGAAATGCTATAGATCTTTAAGCTATAGATTTTTCTAAACTTTTAAGTGGTTAATAAGTTGTAGCTGTGAACATTGCAGCTAAATAATCTTTAGTTGGTTAACTTTCAGAGGAAGATATCGCCTTAGTTGATTAATTGTGTCACAAGATTGAAACATTAGATACTTACAATTAGAAAAGTAAATATTAAATAAAAAATATTAGTCATATGCTATATTGAATCTAGAATGAAATACATAGCTCCCAATGTTTCAGCTTTAATAGGTACATAATTAGCTTCAAAATTGATGGCAGCTGCAGGAGGTATTGAAAAGCTTGCCAATATGCCAGCAGGGAATATTTAAGTGATGGGAAGTGTGAAGAAAAACATGTTGGGAATGAGTAGAGCAATGCATAATAGAAACACTGGATATTTTGGAACTTTGGAGATTGTATAGAAAGCTTCAGGGAAATTACAAAATTAAATAGTTAGGATGTTAGCAACAAATGTAGCAAAAGCTGCAAGAGTTGATAATATGAAGACATGTCCTAAAGGAAATGTTGGAGAGGATTTAAGAATAAAAATGATGAAAAGATATTAAAAGATATAAGAGCCTCCTCCTGCAAAATTAGAAAAACCTTTGCCTATTCCAGATGAGAATAAGAAGAGAAGAAGAGGAGGAAAAAGATTTAGAAAATAAAAAGAAAGATTGGCTATGACAGAAGTGAGGAAATATGCAAATAGATTAAAGTTTGGATTGGAAGCTGAAGATGAAATAAAAGATACAGGGATTGGATTGGGAATGTTAAGTTAAGGTATTGGTAAAGTAAAGTTGCATATCAAAAAAGATAAACCAATTGGTTTAAGTAAGAAGTTATAATAAAGACTTGCACAAACCAAGACTTAATCTGGAGGTGGCACTGGTGGATTAACTTCAAGCATTGCATTTACACCAACATAAGGAATTGAATTAATAAACCCAGAACCTGGATATTTGTCAAAGGTTCCTGATTAATATTTTAATAGAGAATCTGGGTTTAGAACTGTTTTAAGGAAGGAAAGAGAATTTGGAAGATAGTATTGATTAGTTTTTTTAGTTTAATTTTTAAAACACATATAAATAAATTGTATTTGTTTATTGTTGTTACATTAGAATAATTAAATAGGTTTGTTTTATAATAAATAGTATACAATAAACAATGAAAGCAAAATCTCATTATAAAGGATTAATGAAATTATGATAGATGCAAATATTTTTGGAGATTACTTCCAAAAAGAGGGAATAGGTTGTTTCATAATAATAATTATTAATTTAAATATGATATAAAGTTCTACTCGTAACCGTTCTGAGCAACTAATCTATTAACGTAGACAACAAGAATAATAAGTGGGCAAATTGAACACCAAGTTAAGATAGGAGCATTATGAAAAAACCTTTGCTGCTTGGGAAAATAAGGGAAAGGATATTGCCAATATGTAATACACTATGAATAGGTTTGAAAAATATTATATATAAAGACTGCAATAGATAAGAGCTGAGGCTGAAGCACACAAAAATTAAAGGAAAGAAAAATTGGCTACATTGTTAAATGCTGAACATCAATAATATCAATAAGAAATTAAAGCTATGGTTGAAACTCCAGAATAGGTTAAGGAGAGAATGATGAAAGAAGTTGCAGAATTGAAATAAAGAAAAGAAATTGAAAGAGCTAAGTAGGCAGAAGCTGCATATGAACGAAGATTCAGAGATAATGCAGATGAGCTCAGATTGGTAAACTAGCAATTTAATGAATAATAAACTGTTGCTTACAGAAATATGTAAATGATGGAAAAATAAAAAATGTTGGAAGATTAATATGAAGGTATTATTAATTTAAAATCAAAAACTAGAGGAAATGATATATGCTGAATTATATAGAAGGGAAATTTTAAAGAAGGAAAGACTAGAAAAAGAAAAAGAGATTTAATAGAAAGCTAAAGTAGATGAAAGAAACAAAGTTTTAGGGATTTAGGCTACAATGAATGTTAATAAGTTTTAAAGAATTAAGGATGAGATTGAATAAGAGAAGCAGATGCTTGTAAAATAATTAAAAGATTAAAATTTTAGAGAGAAGAATGGAAGAGAGAAGAGGAGAGACATAAATAAAGAGAAATTTAATATTTGAATTATAAAAAGGAAATAAATTCAGAAATTGCATTAAATAATGAATAATAAAAAGAGTATAAAAAATAAATGAAACAAGAAGAAAAGAAATAAGATAAAGAAATGATATAATAAGTTTTAGAAAGAGAAGAGGCTATAGCTAGGATGGAATAGGCTGAAAAACTTAGATAAAAAGAAGAAACAAGATAATTTTTACTTAATTTTAAAAATAGAACAAATGAATATAGTGTAAATGATTAATTGAAAGAAAGATTAATTAATGAAGAGAATACTCGTTAATGGGAAACTAAAGAAGCTAAATGGAAGGCTGAAGATGTAATTATACAAATAATTTTAGGATGCTAGAGTTAAATTAATGTATGAAGTTTATGCATAGAGAGCAGAAAATGTAGAGTTAAAGAGGAAATTAATAGAGGATGAAAAAAATATTAAATAGTAAGATAAAGTGGAATTATTACGATAGTTGGATTTATATTAAAAAGAATTAGAAGAAAAGTAAAGATTAGAATAAGAAGTATAATATAAATGTTAATGAAGAAAATAATGTAAACTAAAAACAATTTGTTAAATCAAATGGATGAGAAGAAATAAAGACAATAATTATTAAGAGATAAAAAGCTACAAGAAGAGGAAGCTCTTCGAAGATAAAAGGAGGAATATGAGAAAAAAATAGAAATGGAAAAAGCTAAAGGCCGTGCTTTGCTCGATGAACTTAGAAAATAAAGACCTTATTGATATATTATAATCAATTCAAATATATTATTCTTATAGTCTTTTCATAATTGTTAGATAATATTTCTATTTAAAAATTTATTTCTATAAAAAGAGCCTTTTTTCATTCTTCGAATTAGATGATAGCTATGACAGCAAACCTATTATAATATTCTAATTTATACAATTCGTATTGCATTAGCAGTTAATATCAAAAATTGATTAAATTAAATTATTTAATTATTGGATATGTCAACTCCTCAAACAAAATCAAAATTGGTTTAAACATTTGGTAGAAAGAAGAATGCTGTAGCTAGTGCAAGTGTAAGAGAAGGAAAGGGTACTTAATAAATCTAATCAAAGGTTTGGTTAGAGTAAATGGTGCACCAATTGAATTAGTGAACCCAGCTCCCTTGAGATAAAAGGCTCTTGAACCTCTCTTACTTCTTGGTTAAGTCAGAACAGGTAGATTAGACATCAGAGTCACTGTCAGAGGTGGTGGAAGTACTGCATAAATATATGCTATCAGATAGGTAGAATAGCAATTATATAAATAATTTAGGCTATTAGCAAAGGCATCGTGGCTTACTATTAAAAATATATAGATGAAACCTAAAAGAGAGAAATCAAAGATCTTTTATTACAATATGATAGAACACTCTTAGTTGCTGATCCAAGAAGATGTGAACCAAGAAAGTTTGGTGGTAAAGGTGCCAGAGCCAGAAGACAAAAGAGTTATAGATGAAAATTTAATCACAGTACATTAAAAATAATATAAATATTAATGGAATTTTAGAGCTGTTAATGCTAAAGAGATTTCAATAATGCAAGTCATTCTCCATTTGTCTTGCCATATTGTCGACATTCAGTTTATTATTGAAATGTTCATAATAATTAATCAGATGGTGTTCAATAACTAAAATGCAAAAAGCATGGGTAATTATGAAAAATTATATTAGAATTGAGTTTTTCATCTATAGTAATTTAATATGTTATCCTTAAAATTAAAGCAGTCTAATTATAGTAGAAGTGTTAAACATATCAAAGAGTAAAAATCTCAATTTCTTTTAATGGTCATCACTCAAAAATTCTAATAAAAAATAGAGAATAACTAAATTATAATTAAAATCCATAGAAACACTCTCAGAACCATTAATTACTCAAATAAATTTAATTTAATTCAAACATAAATGGTCACAAGATGCTTAACATGTTTATGTAAATTCAGTTTTATTTGTACCTCTTGAATTTCATAATAGGTTGTATATTTACTAATACTTGAATTAATAATAATTGTCATATTTTGCTTATGCAAAGATATTAAGAAAAATATAACAAATAGAAACGATTATTAGGATTCAATTAATAGTTAGGTTTCAAATAGAGAGCTTACAAGAATTCATAAAATATTATCCTAAATAATATGGAAATATATTTTTCACAATTAAAAGTTGATACGAATAAATGAATTAATCAAATATGCTACTAACCAAGCTAATTATTATAATGACTCATAATATAAATTACTATTTGGATTAAATTAGAAATCTTGTGAGATATAAATTAAGATTAATAAACTTTTAATTATAAATCTAAATAACCTATTAAATAATTATGTGGATTATAAATTATGTTACTAGTCAATCATTATTTTCTCAGAATCGATTCAAATCTTTCTAACAAATTACATTTCATTCTTTGCATCTATTGTGTAAATTATTAACGGAAAACCTCTAGATTTTCTTTTAGTTCTTTTTAAATAACATCCGAACACTTATTTTTAATAATTATGTATGATTTAAATATACTTAATTTCATATAAAAAATAGAAAAAAAATAGAATAGCTCAAGAAGTATGATGTTTAAATATCATATTGATTTTAATTAGTTTGTTATTATATTAAATATACTAATTATAATGAATTAGTATTCATTTTGTAGTCCAAAACCTAGATTTATGCAAGTTAAAATGGATGAAGCAGAATAAAGAAGTTGGTCTAAAGAATATAAAAAAAGAAGCGATTATTTTAGTTTATTTTCAAAACCTTCAACATCTCGGCCTTAGACTGTGGATTCAAAAGTAGAAGGAAACAAGGCAATAAGATGCAACTCTAGAAAATAAAGATAACATTCATTATAAGATCCTGAAATAACATGTCTTAATTAAGATGTTTAGTTAGTTGATTATTTAGTATTATTTATAATTAACGTAGTTTTAATTAAAAAATAGGTAATAAGATAGATATAAAAGTAGAATCTTAAAATTACATGAAAAAAAAACAAGAGTTTGGAAAAACTATAAATTTCCAGAGTTATTCTAAAGCATAAAAAACAGAAATGATAGTTTTGATCCATTGATTATATTTGATAAAAAAAAAGAACCAATTCTGAATTATATTTCTTGATAAAAATTTTAATAAATTCGATGAACATTAGGAATTTTTATTCTCAATTTTCAATAAAGCAATGATATCAACAATAACAATTAGTTTATAACTTAACTATTTTTTAATTAGTTTCATATACTTTTGACTTTCATTTTTTTTTTAATGTTATTAAGTTAAATAAAAATATTTTAGCTCATTTTTCTTTTAGAGAATCATATTCAAAGTTAATCTAAAGGCTTGGCTTTAAATTTTTGTATTGACCTTTAAGAATCATACTATATAAATATAAATGAATTATAATAATTACCAAGGATCTTAAGATAAAATCATTTCAAACTAAATATAAGGGATTGTAGAAATTCTGTTTACGAAATTACTTTCTATTCCAATTTTTGTTATAAATCCTTTATAATGCTATGTAAATTATGTAATTTAGCTAATTCTTTAATCATCAAAAAAGAAATTAGAAATTACATTAAAATAGAGTGAATTAGATAATGGTAATGCTAAACCAGTTTCTAATTATGGCTGTTTATCATATTTTAAATTAAATAAATATCTATCCTTCCAAACAGTTCTTAATCTTATGTTACTTTCAGCAAAGTTTGGATAAAAAATTCTAAATGTAGCTTAACTTAAAAAATTTTATGATATTTTTAGGGCATCTAAAAAATATGATAAACAGAAATTATTAAATATTTTCACATCTAAATATTATTTTGTAACTAAATATCCTTTGTTTTAAGTGTTTCCAATAAATGCTGAAAAGGAGTTATGTGGAAATACACGAAATCCTGCAAAATAGTATGATTCTTATGACTTAGGATTTTAAAAAAACATTTAAAATCTTGTAAATTGTTTTGAAAATGACAATTAATAATAATTTCTAATTTATAAACTACATACTTCTTCTAATTTTGATAAGTAAAGGATATTAATCTTCTGATTTAAAAATTAAAATTTTCACATTTTATTATCCCATTACCAAATCCAACTCGTCCAGGTTAAATTCTTGTTATAAGTAGAGATACCGGATTTTAGTTAAAAAGCTAATCTATAAAAGATTCATTAATGAAATATGGAGTTAACATTTTTTTATTGTTTTATAAATATTAATAACAAATTATTTCTTCTTGTTTATTATGTTTAGCAAATATAAATTTTATAGATTGAATAGAGAAAAAGAAATAAATATTATAGAAACTAGCATTATTAAAGTATTTATTATGATTATCATTTAGCTCTTTCACAATATTATTTCTGTTCAATAAAAACAATCAAATATTTATTAGAATTCTTTCTTCTATAAATTTTAAATATGTAGTGAAACTATCTGGAACTGAGAACATATGAATTTGATATTTAGGTTTTTTTTAAGTATGACTAAAATTTGAGTCATATTCTTCAAAATGCTATTAATCTTTTTGGTAGATTGAAAACTATTCTATAGTTACTCCTCCAATAGTATATTAATTAATATATTTAATACAAAAGCCTTTTTAAAGAGTCTATGTAGACTGGCCAGAAGTAAATTTTAATTTTCTTAATAAAATACTTAGGCTTCATTGTCATTCAAAAAGTATTATAAATTTTATATTAGTCTATATATCTATAATTGAGGTTCTTAATTTTTTCTTGAGTCTTCTAAGGAATTTTTACTTTTGATAAGATGAAACATGATTAAGTTCCATAATTAATACTTAATTGTGGAATTTGCATTCAATTATTATGGAAGATATTTGTCTATTCCATTTGTCTAAATATAACAACAAGCACATTTAGCATTATATCAGGATAGCTGTTATCCTGGTTTGTATAGAAAATTATTAATTAAACATTATTATTGCTATTATTGTTTTTGACTCAGCTGCTTAATCAATTATGTAAAATTATGTCTACATAATGAATTTTACTTGCTTTTCCTATTAAAAATTAATGAATATGATTTACTAAGGTGCACAAATTTAATCAAAAAGAAAGGATGGTTTATTCAAAAAATAATTATATTCTTCTAATTAATTATTTTATATTAAAACCATTTTAGAATGTAAAAAAGTATAAGTCAATTAGTTTAAGGAGTCTAAGATTTCAAGATCTTAATATAATGAAATGATATCATCTAATATATCATATTTTTTAATTTATCTCATGAAATCACATAACACATCTAGTTTTTTAGTAAAATATAATTATAGGAATTTTGATTTGACTAAAATCTAAATAATATTTATTTTGATATAATTTGAATATAATATAAGAAAATTGAAATTTAAACATTGTTAAAATAGCAAATTTTTATTTTATATTTGAAAAATTTAACTTATTTAGTATTTTATCATTAACATTTTCTCTTTTTTAGATTCTGTTTTTTATAATAATAACCTTATTGAAATGAAAAAACTTCTAGTTATCAATATGATACATCAATTTGAATGAATTGTTATATCAAATTACTGTAGTAATTAATATTTATAATAAATCAAGAATGTTAGCAAAGTCTCAATTATGTAATTATTTGAGTAAATAATTAGTTTTTAAACAGATTGATCTGTTCGGACAAAGCATTTCCTTAAATTTAAATGGAGAAGATCTATATAAAACAGGAGGAGGAGGTTTTTTATCTTGCATGATCGTGGCCATTGTTGCAATTTTCTTTTAATCAAATATCGTAGATTTCTTAGGAAAGACTAATATCAGTGCAGACACTTAAATTGTATTTGAAGAAAACCCTGATAGAATTAAATTTACATCAGATAATTTTATGTTTGCTGTTGCTATCGAATAAAATACAGCTTTCAATACAAATCCATTTTTTAACATTTCAATAAAAGCAAGGTAAATTTATTTAACAAACAAAGAACATATGTAAGATTGAGTAATGGAACTACTATTAAATATGAAAATCTTACTAATTTGATTCCATGTACTTTAGATAGATTTCAAAAAATATTTGATAAATATGATCTTAATTTTACAGATCAATACAATTAATTAGGATTATCTACATGGTTATGTCCAGAGTAATATCTTCATTTATTATATAGTCTTAATTATTCAATAACAGTTGGTGGAAGATATTCAAGCGAATATTTAGATTTTGCAAAAATTGAAATAACAGATTGTAAAAATGATACATCAAAAAATGCATACTTAACTTGGCATCCTACTTGTGCATCTAAAGATGTTATGGAAAAATGGTTATCAAGTGAAGGTTCCTATAGAATAAGAATGTATTCAATTTTAATTCAATTAGATATATGACTAACACAGTAGTAAATCCATCTAAACCAACTAATTACATTTAAGGTTATTTAGATGATGAAGTCTATTTTTAATTTGTTCCTTTTAAATTATCTCGTTAATCTGATATATTTTTTAAAAAATATTAAATCAATACTGATGAGAGTTTAGTTCCAGTATTTGATGATGAATAAATTGAAAATGTATTTACAAAAGAACCTGCAGATTTTAGAGATATTACTACTCTAGGATCTCCAACAGATAAATAATATATAGCTTTGTATTTTAGAAGAAGTCCTTATACAAAATATATTACTAGATCATTTTAAAAAGTAGATGATCTTTTGTCATACTTAGGAGGATTTGTCAATATAGTTGTTGTATTTTTAGGTTTCTTTGTAGCATTCTATAATAAATAACAATGTAAGATTTATTACATAATATAAAAAAGATCTAATTGAACTTGCAAATAAAGTTTATGACTTTAATTTTGAGAATATCAAAAATTCCTAAAGACTAAGAAATGATGATTTGGTTAAAAAAATAACATAGATAAAAAAAAAGACTTAAACATTTAAAGCTATAGAAATGGAAGATTCAAATATGCCCAATAAAAAATCACTCACTTAACCTTTATAAGATGAGGAAATAAGGATATAAGTATTTAATGAAGAAACACCACATAATACAACGAACTAAAAATAGTTAATCAAGAATACATCTTCAGAAATAAAGTCAGAATTTTAAAAATAATAAGAAGAAATTGTTTCTAAACTTGGTTTTAAGAGTAGGAAAGACTATTTAACATCTTAGATTTCTTAAGTTCTCACTAAAGCTAAACCAATTTAATTTACATTTAAATTCCTTTGCCATCAAATGACTGGAGGAAGGTGTTTTAAAGACAATACTTCTATACTTCTTATGAAGGCTGTGTAAATTTAAAAAATTAATTTATAGAGATAGAATAAATTCTGATATTGATATCTATGTTATTTTGGAAAAAGTTAAAGAAATTAATCTATTAAAAGAATTAATGCTTGATAAAAATTAATAAATTCTATTTAATTTTGCTCCAAAATAAGTGATTACTCTTTAAGAAGAGAAAAAACTTCCAAGTAGAGTAGAAGTTTATACGTAATTTTATAATTATAAATTAGATAAAAATTGACAGAAAATTCGAGTTCATCTATCTCTGTTGGCTAAATTGCTTAGTTGGCTATGAAAAAACATACAGATGCTGTAAAAGCAGCAATTCCTGTATCTATTAAAGCATATCAAAAGTTATATAAAGTAAATAAACATTATTGAGAAAGGCTTATGATAAAATAAATGATCCATAAAAAGAATTAGGAAGAGTAAATCAAATACTAATTGAAAAATTAGGCAAAGAAATACGAGATATTTTTGAAGTTTCTTAATTTATAGATTTCGATCTTGTGGAATAAAAATTGAGTCATAGAATTAAATATATACTTAGAAAAAAAGTAAAATAAATGAGGTAGAGCAAATCTTAATTGAAAAAAGACTCTGACGATGATTCATCAGATAATTATGGACTTTTTAGTTAAGAAAGAAATAAACCAGATAATAGTGGAATATTATAAAGAGAAATTTTATTCCCTCATAGAAACTTTTGATTTACTGAAAAAGATTTGCTTATTAATGCATATTTATACAATATTATATTTTTGACTATTTCTCAAATCAATTCGACTGAGTCCAAAATAACTTTACTTTCTTTATTTGCGACACTAAGGAAAAGACTTAAATCACTTACATATGCTTTTGCCATTCTAGATACATCTTTTTGAATGACAATATAACCTTTGATAAAATAATCACTTTACTTTATGTTGGAATATTATTTTCGACATATTCAACAGCTTATCTTCCCTTTAAAGTTCTACTCAAAGCCTGCTTAGCACAATACCAATTAATATCATGAATCTCTGCTCCAGCTAAATTCATTGCCCAGGTTTATTTGTTTTCTTATTTTAATCTAATATATACATCTAACTGGATAAGCTTTAAAAATTCTTTGATAATATGGGACTGGCCATTAAGATGTTGACATAACTCTATCAACAATAGGTCTTTCATGAATAGGTCCCCACAAGGCTCCAGAAAAGCATGCTACTGATTTACTATGTGTAAGACGAATCATTTTAATTATTTTTAATATAAATATATAAACTATATAAAACTTCATAATTTTTCATTGGTTTTTATACAAAATAGGAATTATAATCAAGTCTTAGTAGTGTTTAAAATAATTCATTTAGTTTAGTACTTTTTGTCAACAACTAGATCAAATAATAAAAGAACAATTAATTAAGTATCGAATTCTGCCGTAAGTTTATAATATTCTTTATTTATTAATTTATGATACAATATTTCTATTCTATTAACTAGCTCAATGTATCTATGTAAAAATTTGATGATTTGAAAAATATTTTTGACAATCTATTAAAAATAAAAAACAATTTTTTAGAAACAAATAAATAATAAGTTATTAACATATTAAAATAAATAAATTTGGATTTATATATTGAAATTTATTTAACATAATAAACATTCTAATTTGAATTTTGATGAAGCCAATTAATTTAAGTGAAGTGATGATAACTAAAATCAAAATCTAAATTTTGTAAATGAATTTTTTATTTTTAATACAAATTCATATTTTGATTCTTTTTCTAACACATAAGTTATATATATATTTATTAGAATTTAAGTAATTTTTTGTTTTTTGTGATTGTAAAAGTTTAGATAAATATTTAAATAATGAATGTGTGTAACAAAAATTACTTATAGGAAACCTTTCCATAATATATTCATGATTAACTCAATAAAGTTGCTGAAGAAGATAGGAATATAGATAAGTAGATTTAATATCTAAATAGAGATCATAGAGAATTTTTAATATAATTGACATTTTGAATGAACTTAAAATTTTATCCTTTGGTTTAGCCACTAAGTTAAAAACTTAAGAAGGGTTTATGTTATTCCCAGAAATTATATCTGAAAAGTATATAATTGAATTTAAAGAAATCAAATCTTGCAAATTGAAAAAGAATGAACCCTCTTATTTTTAAGCTTGGACATTTGTTAATTTAGATTAAGTATATATTCTATAGATAATTAGATTGATATGTACAAATTACAAACATTTTTGCGCATTTTATGTATTTTAGCATATTTTGAGTGCAAAAAATATTTTGAAACATTTCTCATAGATTATAAGTCTAAATATGATAATGATCTCTTTAAAGTGTTTTTACTATTATAAACTCAAAAAAAAGAATTTTAAATAGAAACAGATGATTTCTTTCTTCAATTAATTGAGAAATGTGAATGTAAAAATACTTAATTCATTTCATATATGTCTAAATTCTGTAAAGAAAAGAATATGATTAAATGTTTAGGATATTTGGAATCTATAAAATCAACACCAAAGATTTCTTCAGAAAAACGAAAAGGATTTCAAAAATTTAAGGAAGAAGAAGTGAAAAAAGAGTCACTTTAAGAATCATAATAAACCTCTTAATAAATATTAATATAAACATAGAATCCAACTTAAATAATAAAAAGACATTCATCAATGTATCCAAGAAAATCACTAGATTAATAATGTTAATTGATATAATTTTAAGAATCAACAAAAGATTTGATAAAATCAATCGGAGTGAGTAGACCTTCATTAACAATGAGAACTATGAAAGATGGAATCAATCATAAATATAAGGTAATTAAGTGTTATTTATGTGAGTGAAGTGTGAAAATGATAATAGACAATAAAGATATTTAAAGAGTGAAATAAATTAGCAAAAACAATTTCATGAAGAGGTTTGTCTAAAATTAGAGAAAGTATAAAGAAGAAGGGTTATTTGTTGGAATTCGGAATGTTTGGCTCCTGAAACCCCTGAAATTTATAGTGATTGATTGTTAGGGATTGATAATCGTATAAAGTCGTTTTTATTTAATTAATATTAAAATCATGAAATCCTTAATCTTGATTGCCCTCATTGCTGTAGCCTTTACAGCCAGAGTTTAAGAGAGAAACATGGCTAAAGTCTAAGCTGATTTAGCTAAAAGTACATATGGAAAGGCATTACTTCATTTGGTTGAGTTACACTCAATGGCAGGTGGACCAGTTTAAGAGTTAATCGATGCTATCGAAGAACTCATTAATGACTTAGAAGAAGAATTAGAAACATTAGAATTCAATTTCTAAGTGAGAACAAACGAACATAATGCACTTGTTGTCTCTCTTGAATAAGACATCCAAGATGCAGTTATTGGTATTTCAAAAATTTATGTATAGATGTCAACAACACATAAGACACTCTTGATAATTTACTTTATCCAAGAAGAGATCAAATCTAAAGCAAAATTGATACCGTTATTGGATACTAAGAAGAGAATAGAAAGAACTATGATGAAGCAGTCCTTGTTAGAGAATAAGAGCATGAAGCATTTGAAGCCTAAGTTGCTGAATTAAATGATGCAACTGCTTCAGTTGATGATGCACTTGCTTTACTTTCATCATTGACAAATCCATCATTGTTGTAAATCAAAAGATTCTAAAATACTTTGAAAAATATTGAAAATAAATTAAGATCAAGATCAAGAATGGCCCCAATGATCAAGGCTCTCATTAGTTTAGCTTCCAATCAAAACTTTTCAAATTAAGATGTCTTGAAATCTATTGTTGATGCTCTTAATGATTTCAGAAATGCTGTTGTTGATTAAATCAATGATTTAACAGCTTAAGAGGCTCAAGATGTTGCTGATCATGAAGCTTATCTTGAATAATTGGATTCAGAATTTGCAGAATTTGGAAGATAAATTGACAGAGCAACTGTAGATTTGACTGCAACCAATGGTATTAATTAATATTATATATTTTATAGAAAAGATTGACTCAATGGTTGAATTTAGAGACTAAAGAGCAGCTGATTAAAAATAATACACTGCTGAATTAGAATTGGAAAATAACACCTATGCTGAAGAAACCGATATTTACACCAATACCAAGAATGAATTCACTAGAGAATTGGGAGTCAGTGAATAGGCTTTAGCACTTGTTAAAAGTGTTGATTTCTCAAACATCTAGGTTTGATATTAATAAAATATACACATCAATTATTACAATCGTATAATTATATTTATATATAAAAAGATTATATTTTTCATTAATGATATATAAATACAGTAATAAGATATATATTTTATAATAATAATCAATCAAACATTAAGTTATTATCTACTCGAACTTTTTGGCATAGAAGAAGATGAGTTATGATGTTTTCGTTATTTACTAAATGTTTTCCCTTCTGATTTTGCCAATTTTCGATCTGATTATGGAGACTATTTTGTAGATAACAAAGTTTATAGTAGTAATTTTTAATTTTTCAATAAACAAATTTCATCTTTAATTGTTCTTTTTTCACTTTCAAATTTTTATGCAAATTCAAATGTTTAATATTTCAATTTATCTATTTCATTTCTATACAAATTCAATAGTTAATCATCATTCTGGGGTTAAGATGTTGAAGATCTTGTAGGAATATTTAGAGTTCGAACTGTATATGTTGCTTCTGAATCTATTTCATCTCCTGTAACTATAGAAGACTTTTTTGAATGCAAACCAAATAAATTCTTTTCGCTTTTATGTTTTAATTATTTTTGAACTCTTAATTTAATATTAAGATCATAAATTATATCATCTTTTTATTTTAGCTATTTCTTTAAACTTTCAATAGCCATCTCATATTTCTATTTTGATATTTTCATCAATTTTTCATGTTCCATTTACACTTACATAAGAAGATCTTAAAATTGCATTTCTTTATTAAAAAACTCTTATTATTATTATAGCAATTTTTCGTTCAAGTGTTAAACTTACATTGATAATTACTTTTCTTGCTATTAATTAAAAGCTTTGGCCTTACTATACTAATTTAATGAATCAGTATATTCATCTTGTTCTGTTTAATTTTTGTTTGAACTCTGAAAACAAGGTTATAACATTGATTTTATTTAATCACTTGGACGAATAATTGTCATTGATTAATTTGTGTATTGAGAATAGATTAAATCATCGACTGTTTCTTAAGCTTAATATTACTTAGGTCTGTTGTTCATTAAGCAATTATTTATAAATATGAATGCATTAATAACAATAAGTTAAAATGGATCAAGTTAATTCAACTAATAAAGATGATGCATCAGTATAAGCAAGAGCTAGAAGGAGAAGGAATGATTAAAGTAGTAGAGATTATACATGTGGATGTGGGAAGAGCTATTTAAGTTATCCCGCATTATATACACATTTGAAGTATTGCAACTTATATATGGAGGCAAAAACATCAAGGAAGTCCACCTTAAGGGACTACTCAACCTAATAATATGAATCCCAAAGCAAATAGGGGTAGACCCAAGAGAGTATAAATGATTTTAGTAATTCAAGTTAGATGAAAATGATTTAAAGGAAGGAAAATCAGATGATGAAAGATCTATTAGTAATAATGAGCCTGATGAAACAATTGAATAAGTCCTTCTCTTTTTAGATAGTATTGGCAATTTCAGATCTGTAATAATAATTCATTATTCAATTTCAAGGTCATTAAATATGAAAAAGAAGAAGAAAAATAAGGCTATTTATTGAATTACTTTCCAAAAGATTATTTTAATAATTGTCAAGATTATTAGTCTATCTATAACAATATTAAGGAAATTACAAATGAAAGAGTAAAAAATTGCGGTATTATTTAAAATAGGTAAAAAATCCAGATCATGATCCTCTAAATAAAGAGGAAATTGATAAAGATAAAAACATTAAGAAAACTTAAATAAGTAAAATCTTAGCCTATTTTCTTGTGGCTATAGGCCCTTTATTAAATGAAGATGCTTACAAGGAAGTAATATTATATTTTTTGATAAAGATGGCTACCTTTATTGTTTTATTTTCAATGGCACTTAATGAAATGGGTTATTAGGCCCTATAAAATTATGAATAAGAATAATATCAGCAAGGAGATACTGATAAAAAGCCTTAATCTCTTGTCAAACAAGGTATGGATACATTTAGTATCAAGACTAAAATATGAATGCAACATATTGCGAAGAATAAAATGGTGAACACATTTTATTAATAACAAATGATTTTATTTTGTCATTTTTACCACAGAACTTTCCTAAATTGGGAAATATAGAAAAAACATTTAGAATATTTGGTAGTCCAGATGAAAAATTAAAAAATGCTGTATATGTTACTTAACATTTATCTTATTGGTTGTATGCTATGAAATTTACTAACTCAAGATTAGCTTTATACACAGATGATGATTAATGATAAAATAATCATAATTTTTAATTTGATATATTTTTATTTTTAGTTATTCTTTATTTTAAAGTTTTTAATATAAAATTATTAATTATATTTATATATATCTCAAATGGAATCCTAATAAATGATAATATCATTATTTTTTTAACAAAATATTATTAATAAAATTTGATTCAATTTTAAATTAAATTTAAATCATATAAATATATAAATTATATAATAATGTTTAAATGGAGAATTAATCAATTTAAAACAACTGAGTATTTCATTATTATGATAATATTTCACACTGTCCCCATTTAATTGGTTATCCATTTTACCAAATTCCCTTTCTTACTTTATTATTATATGTAAATGTCCCTTCTCCATTTTATTTTCCATTTTTCCATTATCCTTTATAAATTCTTCCATCTGACCAATCTAATTCTCCATATCCATTTCTTTGATCCCTTTCAAACTAAAATTAGCATTATTTTAATACATTTCCTTTATAAGTCTTTCCATCAGGCCATGTATAAATTCCATATCCATTCATTTGATTCAACATCCATTCTCCTTTATACTATGAATTAATATGAAACTTACTTTTTTTCCATCTTTCCAACAATATTCACCATTACCATGAGGCATACCATCAAGTAATTCTCCTTCATATTTGGAACCATCAGGCCATTCAAATATACCATAACCTGTTTTTTAACCATTCTAATAAGTGCCTTCATACCTTTATCCATTATTCCATTATTCAATTCCTTTCTCAATATCATATAATTTATTACTCCATGTTATTTATCTTCAACCCAATCACCATAATATGTTGTTCCATCAATCATGACATATTTTCCTACTCCCCAAGCCTTATCATTTATCCATTATCCCTCATAGCTAATACTTATATTCAAAATATACTAATAACCATTGGGTAAAACCATTCTTCCATATCCATGTTATTAATCATTGTTCCATTCACCCTCATAAATCGATCCAAAGGAATAGAGTTATTTACCAAATCCATGCCTCCTACTATCTAACCATTATCCTTAGTAAATCATCCTTATTATAATTTTATATGTACCCTTCATCAATTTAAACTGGACCAACTTATGTAAGAGATTAATCTTTAATAATTGGAAATGGAAATGGGCCTTAAATTAATAAGAATAAGTACCTAAAGAGTTAAATATCTTTATAGCTAGTGAAGTTTATTCATCAAAAATCTATGCTATTAAAGAATGTAGATATACATTAACATTATTAATCAGTACTCCTCTATAACTCTTAATGCTGTCATAGTTCTCTTCCTGTGCTAGATTTGAATGCTAAGCCATACATCAATTTTCTCTGATCTTATTGGTGAACTTGGGGTTTCATTCGATTCTTTTATTTTAGTTTGCATTCCAATCTCTAAATTTTCATTATTTATGTATATTGGAGCTGTTATTGCAGTAAAGGATTCCTTCTCCTGCGTAGTATTTGTACAACAAGTTCCCATTTTATTATTTTAATTTTATATTTGTAAAAAAAAAATTACTTAAAGCTTTCAATCTTTTATAAAAATCTTACAAATGAAAGAGAATTGTAAAAATTACAAATTTACTATTTCAAAAATCTAATTATGACAATTTCCTTAATCAAAAATATGATAACTTATGAACTTATAATAATAAATTATAATCATGATAAAAAAATAATTTATTAAAATTATAAAATAATAATAAATTTTGTTTTGAAACTTCTCAAATTTCTAAGATGATGTTAAAAAATCAATTAGATAAATCCTTATATCATTAAAAAGTTTAGATAAGCTTAATTAGAATAATTAATCATTCTAAGATGTAATCTTAATCGATTAAAAATAAATTTACTAATCTTAAAAATACTTTCCAAAAATTAAAGAAATTGCTTTTAAATTATTCATTATAATTTTGATTTTAATACTGGTATTAATATTCATTTCATTATCTAAACTTGCATTCCATTTAACTTAACATAAAATTTAAAACTTCCAGATACACTCCCTTCAATATGAAGGTATTCCTAATGTAAAAAAATAAAATTTACTGCAATTTCTTATTTTCTGAAACTTAATAGTCTTTTTTCAGCTCTGTATTATAAAATATACTCTTAATTTATATCTATTTTCAATTATCCCTATCTTTGCTTCTCATTTTTATACAATACTAACACTTTAAATATATTCATACTTCCAGATTGATCCATATATATATTTTAAGTTCCTAGTTTTTTTCCATAATTATCAACATTTTACATACCAAAAGAGGCTATCTTTAATAATTATTATATATACAAGAGTTTTGTTTAATGGCTCTGTAAATTTAAATTTGACTTTTGCATTATCATTTAATGTAAAAGCTCCTTCAACTAAGGCTACACCTTATTATACACAAAAATATTATGTGAATCTCAATGAATATTTTAAATGTTTATCAGAATTTGTTAGATCAAACTTCTTACCAACAAAATTTATTCTCTAATAAACTTGAATATCTTAAACAACTGTATTTTATTATTTTTATCTTTATAATTCTTCTTCTGTCAATTATGGATTGTCTTAAACTACAATTTTTTCTTCTTATTTCAAATTTTATTTTGTTTAATTTTGATATGAATCTATATTTTATTTATCTTCCTATTCTTCATTTATATCTTAAACTTCTATTAATCTTATTTTAATAGGATTATTTTTTTTAATCTAAACAGTTTCAGATGGTAATTAAAATTATATTCTATCATCATTATCATTATTATAATCATTTTTAGGAATATAAGCAGTAAATTATTATTCAAGATTTTATTATTATTATTATTATTGATAATTTTTTTATTATTATTCTACAGTATACTATTATGATCTTTATTGTTAGTTTTTTGCATTTTTATACCATCTTAGAGGTACATTTGTTTAATCTTCTTATTATTAGAGTTAATTTGTGTTCAAATCTGATTGTTATTATGAATATTTATAATCATATTATTAATATTAATATTTTTAATTGGAGTTCTAATTCAATTAGTTATTTTTTTAATAATATAAGTCTTCTTGTTACTGTTTTTGGGTGTAATTATAAGAAGATTATATTTCGAATTGATATTAAAGGTCTACTTAATCAATAAAATTTATCAATTCTTTGGTAATTCCATTTAATTTATTATTGATCCCTTCTAAAAAAATATTTATTTACTATTAATAAGGTGATTCAAATTAATAATAATATATTTCAATATATTTTTTAAGATTATTATCAAATTAATAGTTTGAAGATAAACTCTCTATTTTCTCATTAATTTTAATTTAATCTTTCAAATGTACAAAATAAATTCTATAAATGATATCCATTCAATTATTTTACTTTTAAAGATTAAAAAATAAAGACTTAATTCTTAAGTTAATTTATTATTCTTAATTTGCAATTTACTCAGAAATACTTTACTCTATCTACATTCCAAGTTTCTGGTTATATTCATTTAATTTAATATTAACTTTTTTTTCAAATTTCTCTTAAGGATAAATTTTGTGTGAATAATATTAATGAGTTTATAAATCATTCCAATTTGTAATAACTCTATTTAATTTACAATCCTTATCAATACAGATTAGGTTTGATTCTGTTAATTTCATGTATTCTATAATTAAATAATAAAAATTTAATATAAACAGTACAATAATAATTATATATAATCTTATATACTATTATAAACAAATTTACACATCTAATAAACTATAAAAATTTGGAATTTATTTAAATTACTCATTGAATATAATTTAAAGTGATTCTTTTAATTTGTTTTTTTGTAAAAATTAATTAGTTTAAATTAAAGATTATAATAGAAACCATTATAATATTATTCAAATTTAATAATTTTCAATTCTAATATGTATATTCTTTGAGTTTATATCAAATATATATAATTTTAATTATATATCATAATAAAAAGATTAAATAAAAATTGTTATATAATGTGAAAAAAAAAAGATTTATTTAATATATAATAGAATTATTGAGTACAATTGTATTTACTAAACTAATATATTATTACTTTAAAATATTAAAATATATCAAAACCTTTTTTCCACTAAGGCTTATTATCTCCAACTCTCACTAAATTCATTCATTTAAGCCATAAATTCATCTTAATATCCTCTAGGTGCTTTTTTTTTAACTGGTTTAAGATTTAATGATATGCCGTTTTTGTAAATTGGTTAATTTAAAGTGGAAGGATCAACTAAAGATAATTAATAAATTATACCAAAAGGAAAAGAATCTTCTTCAGAACTGAATTTCAATTCCTCTTCATCAACAGGTTCATTTATATCATGTTTTAATTTACATGTTTCTACATTATCTTAATGAGTAAATATTTTATGATTAGTATTGATTTTATTTTAATCTTTCTTTTTTTATCTCAAAGTATTTAATATTTGCTAGAAATCTTCATTTCTTGATTTCTAAGACTATTATAGAGAAGTTTTCAACATCAATATTTCCTTATTTTTAATTTCCATATCAGAATTAAGATTTAAAATATGTTAAGAAAGAGTATCGATGTCAGATTGTATTTTGTTTGCCAACAGTAAGAAAGTTTTTTTGAGTTCAGCAAAAAGAACTATTTTGAATGGTTACTCTAATTATTCCATACGTTCAAGAATATGAAGGAATGATGTAAATGTTAATTCACTACAATTGGCACATTCAGTAGTTAAGCAAGATTCAAGCACTTTACTTATTCTAGTATAATGCTTACATATTTTTAATATCTTAAAAGCTAGAAGCATCTTCACAAGTATTATATTATCTAATACGCTTTCCTAATTTCTCTTTTAAAGTAGTGACTACACTATTCTAAGTTGGTGAATATATTTCTTAACACACAGAACTCATTAATCTTTTATGCAATTATTAATAGTGATAGTTGTTAGTTTTCATTATTGAGAGGTTAGGACTTGAGCGATGTAAATTTTTTTAAGATTGTCTCTGTATTTTACTAATAATTTCATCCAAATGAGAAGTCTTCTTCATTAATTTATTTATCAATTGATATATTCATTTACTTGTGGATTCTATTTACTTTTAACATATATCTATATGGTTTATAGATTCATTTATTCCAGGAATTAAAAGATGAATCATTAAAATAACATTACAAGTCCATATTTTCATTCTCAAATATTTCAGATTTCTATTAATTTTTATGATCTCTAAATTTACAATCTATAACTATAAATAATCATATATATTGTTCTTTATAAATTCTTTACAGAATCAAAAAGACTAATACTTAATTTGTATCAAATATATTTTTATTTTTTAAAGATAATTGTTTCAAATTATGTAAATTATAATGCTATCTCAAAATTAATTCATTAAAATATTAGCAGCCTCATAAATTGTCATGCTATTTAAGTCTATTATGAAGCAGGCCAATCATATATATTAATTATTATATGCAGACATTTTAAAATAAATATTACAGAACTATTAGTGAGAAATAAATATTCATTTAATTGAACAAATGAACCTTAAATAAAAAAATAGATTAAGTGAAAAATTTAGTAATGATAATTAATGATGAATTAAAAATCCGCTATTGAAAATTAGATTACTTGAAGAGAATTATTTTAGCAAAAAATAAATAAAGGAAATTTTAAGTTAAGAAAAAAAGAAAAAAAGGATTTCGAAATAAAATCTCTTCAGAATTCAATATAAATAAAGTTGATAATAACTTTAATAAAGTTAGATTGAAATATGAATATCAACAAACTTTATATATTACTTTTATAATTCTAATTAGTATTATTAGATATAGTATGTAAATAAAAAGAAATTATGGATCTGAAAAGATAAAATATTTTTATAAAATAAGGATTAAGAGTTGAGTTATTTTAAATCAAAACTATGATATTAATGAAATAATCATCTCAAATTTCATATGAATATATATTTTCTATTGATGAAAGTAACTATAACAAGAATTATAATAAATAAAAGCAGTAAAGTAGATTAAGTCCAATTAAAACACTAATTTTGAATAAAAGAAACTACAAAAATTGAACTATTATTATTAAATATATTCTTTAATTCAGATATCATTGTCTAATTTAAATTTAAAATTATTATACTTTTATTAGAGCTTCAATAAAAACAATATATTAATAAAAATTGATTAATCATTTAATTATTAAAATAATTTAAATACTAAGAAATAGAATTTAAGTTTAAGTTAAAATTGAAAGTATGAGATCTAGTAAAACAATAATTAAGATATTCATATTTTTATTTGTTAATTAGAAATAAATTAAAAACTATAGTTAGTAAAACATATCAAATGTAAATTTAATAATTATATATAAAGAATAATAAAATAAATAAAATTAAAAGTTTTAGAAGATATTTAATCATTAATCAAATTACACAGGAAATATGATAATAATTTGTTATATTTAAAAATATATATTTGCAATTTTTATTAATTTCTATTTTTCACTTAATTATAAGATTTCTTAGATAATTTGACAAAATTTAATCTAAATTTAATCTAAATTTCAATATGTTGCTTCTCTTTCCATAAACACTTATTTTTTTAACTTTCTCAATTTAAATCAGGTTATTATTTCATAATTAAACAATATTAAATATAGAAAATAAAATGAATCCTTACAACTATCAAAACTAAAATACTAATCCCATACCCAATTTTGCATACAATCCTCTATTGTTTTTCTAATTTAATTTACCTCAATAATATCTTTAATATTGCCTTTAAAGACATTTAAACCTTTATGTTAATCCAGAATTACAAAGTAATAAGCAACAAATTGAAGCTATTACAATTTATAGCGATGATGAATAACCCATTATAAAGCCTAAGGAATAAATTTAAAAAGTCATTCCAGTGACATAAAACAATATAGGATAATAGAAGCTTTTAAACCTTGATTAATTAGAATTATAAGGAAAAATATATGATAATGATTCTAGTGATTCACCTTTATTATAAAAAAGAGTCTAAAAATGTTTAAAATATCAAAAATCAAAAATATAAAATAAAAATGAAAGCTTATAGCCACTTAAGGTAAAAAGGAAAATAATCAAACCTTAAAAATAACCTAAAAGTTCACAGTTAAGTATAATAAAATAAGTTTAGATTGGAAAATACCGACAATAATATAAATTTAATTAGTCTAGTGTTAAAACACAATTAATAAAAGTTTACACAAAAAATGAATAAGAATGTAAGATTTATTTATAATATGAGATAGTGTAACAATTAAGAGAGCTCTTATTGATTAATTTTCCAAATTCCAATGATGAAGACGCAATAAAATTATTAAATGTGACTGGAAAATCATATGAAAAAGCAATGGACTTGATTAAGAAAAATGAATTACTAGTTTAATATATACTGGAAAGTAAATTTTTATTATTATTAATTCAGCTAATAAAAATAATGAATGTATTGAAGAAGATGATATTTAAACTATGAAGTGAACCTGAATTTTGTGTATTAATTATTTAGATATATATATATATTCAACTAATTTAAATTATCAAAAAATTTATGATTTATCTTTATATGATTATTCATAGAGATTAGTAAAGATTCAATAGTATAAATAAATTAATATTAAATTTAAAAGGAAAGAATGAGAATTATAATTGTAGAAATTTGTAAAATCAGAATTGAATTTCATTTATGTTAATCTATTTTCTATAACATTATACTATTTAGTATAAATTTATGGGTAACAATTAGAATTTGAGTAAAAATTGATTTTTTCAATTATTTTTATTCCTTTACTATTAATAGTTTGAGAATTTATATTTTACTAATTTAGTTTATAATATTTTGACCATTCTGAAATAATAATTAAATGCAATAGAAATCTCATAATTGATATATATTTAATATCAATTAAAGGGTCTAAAGAATTTAACTGAGAGCAATTAACTTATTTAATGTTATAAAAGCGTTAATGTAATTTATTAATGATATTAATTTAATCAATTTATTTCTCTTTATTTGGCAATTAATGCTTTAATTTATTTGATATCAGTACTCCATTGCCCAAATGGAATTATATATTTTAAGTATGCATAGAGAGATGGTTTCAATGATTACTCAGTAATTCCTATTAAATATGTTTATTAATATTTTGGATGTAATAAAACTAAATCTTATTCATTCTTTTGTACAATATCAGCAAAATCAGCAATTTCTTAAGGTTTTTTGACAAATAACATAATGTAATAGAATTGTTTACCTTGTTACAAATATTATTTATAAAGTCTAATTACATCAGCAATATCTAATAAAATAATAGGATCTTTAATTTCTATTGTATCATAAGTAGAATTTCCAAAATTTTTAACTATGTCTTTAGATAATTTAATTTCAGGAATATAACATAAAATCTCATGAACTGTCTTAGGAGGTTAAGTAATATTGCATCTATGAGTCCATTTAATAAAAGGTCTATTATTTCTATTGGTTAAGATTTAATTATGGAAATTTACTTTACATAGAACATTTTAAGGATCACAAGTTGTATCATTTCTTCTAGGAAATACTACTCTATTATTTCTTTTAGAAAGCCTCTTTTTTTTTTTTTATTTTTAAGCT